GGAGATGACATACCAATTGAGCCTGACACTCGTTGATGATGGCGGACGGACCAACCCGATATCCGAAAAAGTGATTTATATTATGCGAATGAGGAAGGGGGGGGGGAAACCAGGGGTGAAAAACGAACTCGCATCTACCGCTGTGGTATATCACATTGATATACTCGGACGGCACAATGCCAACCCCACCCTCCAGCCTACCGTACCCTTCTTTCCTATGCCTTCCTGCCGGTCGGTTTCTCGGGAGAAATCTACGTTGTCCTATCCTATCGGTAAGGGTACCTATCAGATCTTTCCTTCGATAGCACCGCGTGACCGGGTTAACTTTGTATGATATAACCCCCCCCCCCCCCCTTTTCTTCATTTATTTATTTATTTATTTTCTGAGAGGGGAACAGAGCCCAAGTTGGATTACCCCGCCTCTCTCTCTCTGCGTTATTACGCGCTATGATCGTCAGGTAAAGTTCGGATGGCGATGCTGTCCGTATCGTATTACACCCTACATGACATCCTTTCTCTGGGTCGTGTTGGTTTCGAATAGGGTACGCTGGCATGCTAAATCAGTAAGGCGATACCGGTATTATCCCACTCCCAGGGCGATGAGGAGTAGCAGTTCAGCGCAGCCCCAGCGCAGCGGGGACCGCGTATGGCCTCAACCAACGTACAGTACAGCGATGAAATCGGAGCGCTCGATGTGCGGACCACAAAAAAAAAGTTAATCATCATAACTCGCTACAATATATTCCTACCCCCGGGGAGCGTGGCCCGGAAGCACAGGAGTTGGGGAGTTGTCACGGCCCGGAACTACATCTAGCATTCCCATGGTGATACTGTACTGTACCGTACTCGTACGGTAGCTCTTGCGTTGAGCTGGCGTTAACTCACCCCGCAATACTAACTGCCGAGTCATCTGCGATACACGCAGCTACGCCGGCACTCGTATCTGAATGATGTGGTCGGGTTAAGCATTGAGATTTTGTCTTACATATCTAATATGTACGAGTACTACGCTTATATATATATATATATATATTTTTCTTCCCCCACGCCCCACCCCCCCCCCTTTCCTGAGGAGCGGGAATCATGTGGTGTCACTCGAAGGGTGGGTGACGTGGGAGGTTCGGGCGCGCTTTGACATCGTGGTTCTTAAAATTATTGGCTGGAAGGAGGGGCAGTTCCTAGTGCTCTTTTTTTTTTCTTCCCCTTTTTTCTTTTTTCTACTCGTACCTTATGCTACCCAGTGTTGTTTGTAGCTTGGCATTTGACTAGGGGGATGTGGGGGTACTGTAAGGCTAACTGTGGTGAGTTGAGTTGGGCACGATGGCAAGCCGTGTTGATACGGCAGATTCCTCTCGCGGTGAGGTTTAGACTATTATACCGGGAACGCTAGTTGGGCCTTCCGGAGTATGTGTTGGTATTTTTTTTTTTTCTGCTGTTCTCAATTTACTGGGGTAATTGAAAGAGTACGGTACGGCATATATGATACTGCGGTGGGTTGGTCCGCGAGCGGTGTGGGATGTTTGTGTTTTATGGTGATAATATTATCATGTCAAAAAAAGGGAAGAAAAAAAAAAAAAAAAGGAGAGAAAGGCTCTCACGTAGCTTTTGGGGCCAGCATAACGCAACGCCCTCCGACGATTCGTTGAGAAAGGACTGTAGGATACCGTTACGGTTGTCGTGTTGTATTATAGATACCCGTTACCACAATTTCGGAAGAAGAAAAGAAAAAAAAAATCGCTGCACAAAGCACCCAGCACATCGCGGGGTGCCACGGTAACTTGGATTTATCATACGTATCGGTATTCCGTGAGTTTGGACATCTTACTATATATACGGAATTGCCGTGGGGGAAGCATTGTTGCACGGTCCGGTCCCCCCCCACCCGGAACAAGGCTGTTTAGCATTGGAAACGTTCAAACCGGACAAACAGACAAACAAACAAACAACACAAACAAACTCCTATCATAGGTATAATAATTATAATATAATAAGATATGATAAAATAAAGTGTGAAAACCCTCGACGGACCATCCGTCCAGTATCATTTATTTCCAACCGCTGCGAGATATGGTCGAGTCACGGATAGTCCAAAAGAGAAAATAATAATAATAATAATTCACATTCCCTTTCCAAAGGTGTATCCCAGAGCGAGGCAGGGGGGAAAGCGTGTATAGGTACATTACTCCAAAACCCCGGAAAGGGGTTTTGGCGAACCTGTCGGTAGGATGCGATATAATACAGAAGTTTGTGTCCCGTTGGCTTTCGGCGGCTCTTGAGGGATAAGATACCGTGCTGTACTAGTACTGTACTCGAGTATCATACACCCCGGAATCATACGGCGGGCTTGAGTGATCGCACATCGACGAAGATGGGGTTACGAATATGGTATGGTACCGTTCAAAGGCCTCATTTTATCTACGGGATGTGATGCGGCTATTTCCTCTAGTCCATCATACTAAAACCCTTCGGAATATATGATGGTTGTTGGCACCGCCATAACACGGTAACTGCAGTATGATATATATATTTTCCGGAAGGCACTGACCGACACGGCGCAGCGGGCGTCAGCGAAATGTCCGAATTCCGCGGTTTCCGGGGTGGGATTTCCTGTGATACCGCTGCGGGTATCGGGGGATCCGGTGGTGGGCGCTGTATCATACCGTATTGTAACGGACGGACGGGGTTGTCGATGGGGGATGTATCTTTTGAAGAGGACTACAGCATGATATCGTGCAAGGAACTTTGTAATATACATTAACCTATAATGTTATTATCATGCCTTTAAATTTCTGAAATTTACAGCCCAACTGTGCAGAGGTGCCAAGCTTCGCTTGGTATCGGAATAGCACGTGACTGACTGCCTTTCGGAGAAAGAAGGGGGAAACTTTTTTGGTGGGTTTTTTGGGGTTTGATCGGATTAAACGGTGGTATCGTGGAGCTCTGTGAGACTTCAACTGGTGGCGCGGTATGGCGAATTGAAATCTTACTATATCAAGGGCGTTTACGGCGAGGCTACCGTTTGTTCAAGGTGGTCTGGGGATTCTCGTTTCCGAGACTTGTCATCTTTCTCCCGTGCGGTCACGGTGCTATGATAGCATATTTGTTCGCTCTCAGAGGAGCACGGTATGATAGCCTTCGATTTCCTGGTGAATCAAATGATTGATTCTGCCCTGCCGACAGTTGTATGATACTGTCAGAAATTTTATGGAAGGTGATGAAGGGCTGTCAAAGAATGACGTTTGAAAAGAGGAAAAGGTTTCGAACCCGGCAAGTGATTTCGCCTGACCCATCCACCCGTGCGGCGAGATCCCTACCGGTCGCCACGTCTTCCATGCCCCACGTTAGTCCACGAAGTTCCTTGCCACCAAGAACCTCTGCCACCCCATCATATCAAACCTAGCTGCCATACCGCTATTGCCAAAAAAAAACTTTATCGCAACAACACCTCGAGGCCACCTTCCCCCCCATACAAACCGTGTTTTAAGATGTCTTCGGCCTTCGTCGATTCGGATCTTGACCCGCTCGAACCCACTCTCCAATCCATTCTGGACCAGAAGAGCCTGCGATGGATTTTTGTCGGCGGGAAGGGTGGAGTCGGAAAGACTACTACCTCCTGCTCCCTAGCCATCCAGCTCGCCAAAGTCCGCGAGAGTGTTCTGCTGATATCCACGGATCCTGCACACAACTTGAGCGATGCCTTTAATCAGAAGTTTGGCAAGGAAGCGAGGAAGGTTGAGGGGTTCGATAATTTGAGTGCCATGGAGATTGACCCGAACGGCAGCATGCAGGAGTTGATCGAGGGAGGTGAGCTCGGCATACCTCTTCTGTAATAGCGATGAAAACCATTTTGCTCTCGGTTGCCTGACGTTTTCTCTAGCTGAGGGCTCGCAGAATCCATTGGGGAACATGATGCAGGATCTTGCATTTACTGTATGTTGTCATCTTCTGCTTTCAACGAAAGCTTGTCGGTTTTGACGGGTTGCTTTTAGATCCCTGGAGTAGATGAAGCCATGTCCTTCGCCGAAGTTCTAAAGCAGGTCAAGTCCCTCTCGTACTCGACTATCGTGTTCGATACCGCTCCTACCGGCCATACCCTGCGCTTCCTCCAATTCCCCGCGGTGCTGGAGAAGGCTTTATCAAAGATCTCTCAATTGAGCGGGAAGTTCGGGCCAATGCTTAACGGTATTCTGGGAGCTCAGGGTGGGCCGGGCGGCGTCGACGAGATGATGCAGAAAATGGAGGGCATGCGAGAGGTCATTGGTGAAGTTTCCAAGCAGTTCAAAGACCCTGACCTGACTACGTGAGTGAACCCCCTTCTGTCGTTAGTAGAGGCTCAGTGATGCCAGCTTGGTTTACATGAGATGAGGTCTGACCTTGATAAATAGCTTCATCTGTGTTTGTATTCCAGAGTTCCTTTCCCTCTATGAGACGGAGCGCATGATCCAAGAACTCAACAACTACCAGATTGACACTCATAGCATCGTTGTCAATCAGCTCCTCTTCCCTCAGAAGGGCTCTACCTGTGAGCAGTGCACCGCTAGGCGAAGAATGCAAAAGAAATATCTCGAGCAGATTGAAGAACTCTATGAGGATTTCAATGTTGTCAAGTGCCCGTTGCTTGTAGAGGAGATTAGGGGAAGCGATAAGCTAAGAAATTTTTCGGGGATGTTGGTTAAACCCTATGAGCCTCCAGCGGAAGATTAAGAAACCCGTTATTAGCTCAACAGGGGGGGGGGGATGGATGCCGTATAAATCATGTCGTTTTTCCGGGAGTTTGTCTGGTGTCAGAATACCTCGCCGGTCCATAGATGAAGAGGACGGTGTGTAGATCCTAGTGGTCTTGTTTGCCGATGCCGAATAAATAGTTTGCTTTACCGCTATTACTCTTGTTATCTTAATCACTCTGCATGGCGGAACCCCGTGGGAGATCCCATCTTAGTTGTTCAGGTATACCGGAAAAGTTCTAATTGCCGAGGCGCATGCGGACATTGGGCATTTGTTTATTAGAGAAACAACTCAGGTTGTATGCCACTACAGGACTCGAGGATTATATTGAGGGTGACAACATTTCCTTTGTTTTCTGCATAGCTTATCAGCCAGATATGTGTGCTCCCAAGTCACAAGTCATCACTCGCAAACATGGTAAAATACGAGTTCAAGTTTCGCTGAAACTTGTGCTGCGGTAAAAAAAAAGGAAGAATTGGTATGGGTACCAGGAGAGAAGCCGGATCAGAGTCTTACCTGAAAGGCTCTGATACCTTTGCCATCGAACGCCTCTGTTGTGAACTTCGTCGGGTATTGAGAAGTTTTCAGGCCGTTTCCAACGGTGACTGTGATCCCAACAGCGATGATGTCACCCACAAATACGTTAAAATGCATTTGCGGATGAATGAAAAGCCTTGCGTGGCCATTTCCGGATAGCCTTCTTCAGGCAGTCCATATAAGGCCTCTTGCACTCCCCTCCCCCCTCGGGCCCCCTATCTTCTGTCTTAGTCTTATCCTTCACTTATTTCAACAACCGCGAGCAGCCAAGTTACACAATCATCACATATCGGGTGTTGTGCTACACAATCTGCATATTTTATATTCCGGTAAGGTCGGGCCTAGGCTTGTCCGAGTTCCGGAGGTACAGGGTTGAATTTAGCCCGGGTTAGATTTTGACGATCAGCACTACCCCACGCCAGGGTGCCCCAATTCAAGATGTGCTATACTTTTAGGTAGTTAACGGGGCTTTCATTCATCTTGGATATGGGCCTGGGTCTTGCTGGATATCTTGGATAACTTTACAGGTCATAAATTGTCACTCGCAAAACGAAACTTCTACGAGCCGTGAGTGTCTATATGGTTTCCGAGGTCCACGATCCGGGTTTGCAGGGTGCAAGGTACCGCGAGAACAGATATTGCGTCTAAGGTACCCGACCACTCCTTTGCGGATATTTCGGGGTTTGGGGGGGGATTCGGAACGTGGCGTCCAACAACTCCACTCCCGAACTTTCCCGCACTGACTCGAGCAAGGTTCATTAGCAAACACGGCTTTGGTGCTCTTGGCAAGCAGCCCTTTTTGGGAATACAAACATTTGATCGAGTCAGACATCTGTTTTACTAAAAAGCATTGAACATGACTGTCCATCCGGAGTTCCACGGGTGCGTGCGGGCGAAGGGGTTATTACGACCAAGGATTTAGTGGGGCAACTGGGTAAACACAATTAGGCTTTTCAGTTGAACATCGCCCAGCCGCGGGGCACCCGCAGCACGCAGTCAGAGAGTAAGGACACTCCAAGGTAATGTGTTGTTGCTTCTAACTCAAAGGTTCCCTGTTGGCTACTGAAACCATTGGAGAGCGACAGGAAGATCTCTCATCATGATACTCGAGTATTCTTCCGTCCCCTGCTTAGCCGGCATAATTGGCCGCTCCTTCCATTGTGCCACCTAGACCGTTAAGCGTATCGGATCCCAATTGTTGATATGAGGGGGTTTATGCAGAAAGCACAGCAAACTAGACGAATCGCAATGCTTGTAGCCTGCCACGGGCTCGGTGGGAATCTTTAAACGTCGGCCATTGGTAGTCATGCTATGAAAGCAATTCTCGTGACTCTAACGGCGCCAAAAACCTTACAAGATTTGTGCAGGAGCTCTTACATCACACTTTGGATGTCATAACATCTTCCCCAGATTTTGCAGAGTTTTCAATTGATTCTAGCCGCTAATTTTCATGCATTTAGAGAGGGACGGCGGGTGCTTACCTTAAACAATACGCGAGACCTAGCCTGCTCGGCCATTCCCGTTCGGTTAAAGGGCGAACTGCCGGTATGCCTCCAACTAGAGCCTCAAAGGCCGTGCGCACCTTGAACGTTGAGAAGAAGCAAAAAATCCAAGCCCCCCCCCCCTCCAGGACGACCTTGACCACTGGCACTGTTACCAAATCATGGGTACTCGGATACATGTATTGGGGTTTCGGCGAATTCGGTTGGGTTAACCGATTATCATTTATTTGATCGGTTGTTCCGCGGTCGCCCCTCTGAGGAGTATTTCAAGAGAGAAAAAAGAAATGCAGAGTCAGATGGGGGTGGGTGAGTGAACTGTGAGCGGTGAATTGTGAAGGCTTATCTGGTCCTGGTTCACACAGCGAAGCATATGATGAAACTGAAGCCAGAGACAGGGTAAAAGCAGGGAAAAAGAAAATTTTACGAGGAGGAGCCCTAAATGCCTCTTTCCTGCCGTTTGTTTGGAAATTTATATAGGGTGTTCTCCGTGCTTGTAAGGCATTTGCTATTGGGGTGCGTGTTGGGACCGGGGAAGAAAGGGTGTTACCGGTATGTTGGGGTGGGGTTTTTTTTTTCCGTTCATTTTTTAGGGAATACGGTAGATTAGGGAAGATACCGGTACGGTAGGTAAATTTAACATGGAAATAGAGTTTAGCGCCAGGATTGTGTTTCACTGCGGCTGTCGTTTAGAGAGAAGAATAGAGTAATTTAGACTTCAAATCTCGTGCTGACCATTATAATGGTATAATTTTTCACTCACTCTTCATATCATATCATACCATGCTAGGTGGAGGAGAGAGCCAGCAGAGGCGTAAGCGGGTTTATCTCTGTGTGCAGTAGGGCCATCAAGCCTTCCTGGCTCCATTCAACCTCTGCGAATATTTCCAAGTATCGTTCTATCCGCACGTTTTTTACCCTCCCTCCTTTTCAACCTTCAACCCTCAACCCTTTCACACAGTATGGTACCATAATATGGTAGCGATGAGCATATTTGACCAGTCCTCTCGACTCGGAGCCGGTTTCATGTTTCGGCGTCCCATTTTCACCATTCCTATGATACCAGCATTCGAATGCAATGCACATCGGTGTCCATCGGACGTGAACTCATCTTTTCCCCGTAGATTACCCCGGACACCTATTTGCCTGTCAAACGTTACCTGCCTGCTTGAGGGCGGGGGTAGCGTAATAAATGTGTGGTATTATACGGCGTTACCACCGCTCTCTGCCTTATAGTGCAATCGGACACTTTTTCCCCTCACGTCTGTCTGTTCTCATACCGTACACACACACTTACGCACATACAGCCTGGGGTTTCGGGGGGGGGAGCCCCCCCCCCCTTCAAAGGGTACAAATGATGGGGTATAAATATTTGGATATCAGTTCCCCCCCTCCCCCTCCCCCTTCTCCTCCTCCTTGAGACAAGGAAATTTCTTTAAAAATAGACTACAAACCAACAACAGCAGAAATGGAAAGCAGCACTAGGAAAAAGGTGATGCCAATCGTCATCCCGCCAACATGCTTCCACCCCTCCCCACCGCTGCAGGAGTTCACGCCGCCGATAACCCCTTATTCATTGACTTCTTCCTCGGGCACATCTCAGGACCCGACGACATTACTCGATGCAGTCCCACCTTCGCTGCCACCGCCAAGCATCGACGTGCCAATGTCCCCAGGCGCGATCCAGCAACGCCAATTCCTCCTCGGCGAGGGTGCGTGGTCGAAAGTGTATGCTATCCGCTCTCGAAACCTAGCTGTGAAGACGCCATCAGCGCCTGGTGGTCGGGAGGTGATTGAGAAGGAAGCGAAGATATTGCATTACTTGACCACGGCCCTCCCGGACCTGAAGATTGCGCGGTTCCGTGGGTTTGATGTTCCTTCATCGTCGCTGTTCATGGAGCTGGTCAGCATGGGGACATTGGAGTGCTTTGTTGAGCGGAGGGCACGAGAGCTGGACGTTGAAAGGGAGGAGGGGAGGAACGCTATGGCGAATGTGAGGAGGCCGGTTGTTGGGATGGGGCAGTGGTTGTTTCTGGCTGAGCGGCTGGCCAGGGTGTTCTCCCAGCTCAAAGAGGTGGGGGTTGTTCACGGGGACGTCAAGTGGAGTAATATCCTTCTGCGGGAATTCCGTCCCGCCAATAGTGATATTGAGGACGCAGCGTGGGTCGCTTGCAGGACGAAGTTGTACGAGCCGGTCGTGGTGGACTTCTCCTCTGGGCATTTTCACCTCGACGGTGGGGAGTCGCCCGAGGCAGTGAACGCGGTTACTACTTGCTTCTGTGCACCCGAGCTTCTCGAGTCGTTCATTTCCAGGCCCCCCACTTCTGGTTCGCAGATTACGCCGCCGGTTACTCCGACTTCTAGCTCTAGAGCCATGGTGGCGGCGGTTCCGCATCCACTGCCGACCTTCCAGTCGGATTTGTACTCTGTTGCCTTGTGCCTCCTTGCCGCGGCTATCGGGAGTGAGGTGTATAGGAACGCGGGCAAATTTGCAGGGATATATGTGCGCCAGGGAAACCCGGTTGGGTGGGTAAGGGGTGACGAGCGGGGGTTGAGGGTTGGCAAGGGGTGTGTGGTGTTGGATGTGCTGAAGGATTGCTTTGGAAAGGTTGCGGAGGAGAGGGTTGATGTTGGGGTTGTTGGTAGAAAGGCTGCTGGGTGGAGAGAAGAATGGCTGAGAGAGGGGCAGGATAACCCGAGATGGGGATGTTGAGTAGGAAAGGGAGGTGAGGTTGGAGCTCTAGTACTAGTGCTTTCTTTTTCTTTGCGGCTGTATTTTACTTTGCATGGATTCTCTATATACTATTAGACTGCATATGGTTGGGTTGGGTAGGGTTTTCCTCTGCCATGTTCAAACTCTGGCTTTGCTCACTCGTCAGGTGGGGTTTTCGGAAATCAATAACAAGGCATTGGTAATAGAACTTAGGTTCCATGTGGCTTCGTAATTGGGTATATTATTTCTGCCGCTCTGTCCTCAACCGCAGTGGTTATATACTCTGTCTAGACGTTGGATGTTAGTATAGATATTGAGATGAGAGGCACCGTGTGATGATTATGAGCAGGGAATAATAGACGGTTGGTGCCAAACTTCCCTAACCCATTCCACGGGTCACGATACAGTGCAAGGGAACACCCCCGGAGAAATGAGGATGAAACAACAGCAAACAGGAAAAAAATGGGTGCGGAAAACTCACGGTCTCATTCACCCACTACGGATACCCGACCAACACGATATCACAAAGGGGAGTCTGTGCCTATGCTGGACGCGAGGGTGGCGAAACTTCACCTCTTCGATCAACCCGATGCATCGGCCTCCAACCTCCCCTTCATCCCCTTCTCATACTTCCCCAAGTTAATTCCACCGGCCGACCAGAGCGTTACAGCCCTGACCAACATCCCTTCCCCCTCTTCCTCCTTCTGCGTATCCCCAATGACGTTAACCCACTCCCCATTCCTCAAAGCTCCCATGGAAAGCGAGCTCGTCAGTAGCGAGACGTCAGTCTTTACCAAGACTGACGAAGGGGGATGAAATAGGCTTAGTCGGGCGGTTGCCATATCGTAGGAAGCTATGCTGTTAAGTATGATTAATTTGTATCGCTTCCCGGAAGTGGTGAGAGGGGAAGGAAGGAAGGAAGGAGAGTACCAGCCAAGGAAACGGACTCGCGTGTCAGGTGAGCATGATGGGATTTGGCTGAGAGGAAGGAGTTTGGAACCGGGTTGTTTGTAGGGTGGTAAGGAAGAGGAAGAGGGTGACTCCATGAGTGGACTATAGGGGATTCATGTGTTTGGATGGCACTGTAGTTATTGTATGGATTTGGCTTTGGTCGGTTTATTGTTGGGTTGAGATGGGTCGTGAGAGGGGGGGGGGGCAAGTTACATGATACCGGTACTTGCGAGAGGGGAAAGGGGGATAATCTGATTAAGGATACGATATAGGAAGGTTACTATCTACCGGTACAGGAACGGTCGGTTTTCGGAGGCTTCTTTTTTCTTCCTATCATACCTGTAAATGCCGGCACTTGCGGGGGCACTGTACTGTACTAGCACTTCAAAAGGAATACTACCAAAAAAAAAAATTAATTTTGATCTTCTCAACAAGCTTAAATATGTTTTAGTCTTGGCCACCTGCCAAGCCACATGTACCTCGCTGCGGGCGAATCGGGAGCCCCATCTTTCCCTTCTCCCCTTCCCAGTGCGTGAGTGAGAAAGACAGAGTGCGTGAAAGCGAGGTCTTCGAGTTAAATTCCTCAACGACCGTTTGACTAGATCAGACACCTGTCACGTACATACACCCATACCCACACCAACAGCCCCCTCTCTTCTCTTCCCACCCCTCCTCGAATCGTTCAATAAGCACTACGCCCATTTCTGCCGCGACGAACCTGATTAGGATCCAGCTGTTTTTATTATCGACCCCTTTGCGAGCCGGAGGGGAAGAGACAAAGGCAATCATGGAGAGTCAGTCGTTCAGTCCTACGAGCTTGGACGCGCTACCTCGATTAGAAACAAATATGGGTGCTAAAGACGACACCCGCGCACCTAGCCCTCCTCCTCCGGAGGGAATCAAAGACGCAATGGAACTGGATGATGACAAGGCGACCCATCACGTGGGTCCTGTTGAGGAGGAGGACGTAAGTGGGGTTTCGGAAGTGAAGGATGACAAAATTCCCGCAAAACAATTAGAGGAAGAGAAGGAAGAGAAGGGGAAAGGGGAAAAGGTGGAGAAGGGCGCCGTTTGTGGAATCGGGGAAGAGGTGCCGCCAATCTCCGCTCCCGCTGGGACTTCGGCCGCTGCCAACGATGCCACTACAGACCCCGTCACCACCACCGCCGCCGGCGACATCGCCGCTCCCACTGCCCTATCTGCGCCTATGACTACACCTCCTCCCCAACAACTCCGCTCTCCGGATATGCCGGAGCGGTTACCGGTATCTCAACCCCAACTATCCACACCCCAGCAGCAAGTAGAGAACATGCGTCGGGCGGCCGAGGCCTGTCGACCCCTCATTTTCAACGATATCCCTCCGCCATCGCCGATCGTGGAACCAGGGGCCTTGCACGAGCTAGAGGATCCGACTTCCCCCGATCGCCGACGATCATCAGCTAACGCGGGGATCGCGGGACTGGAAGAGTTACGCCGTGATAGGATGGACCAGCTCATTCACGCAACCGGGTTCGATGGCGCCGGTGGGGATAGCCAGGAATTGGAATACGAGCATACTATCGACGCGTTTATAAAGTTAAATTTTGACGACGGAAATGTCTACTATGTGAAGAACTCTTCCGTCATATTCGGCCGCATGGAGGGCGCAACGAGTAATACTTTTCAACAGATTGGCCCGGACGGGAGCACGGTTATTGGTGGGGGCAATGGATTCGGATTCGAGCACCCAACGACATCCGGCGCTATGGGCCTGAAAAGGGAGAAGAAGAAGCGGCGAAAGAAGAAGGACGGTACGGACAGCAAGAAAAGCAAATCTACCACTAGTGGCGGGAGCAGTGCTGCTCCTGCCACATCCCGCAAGGGCTCCACCTTTCAAGGGCAGCCGCAGTTCCCGCCCTTTAAAGATCCGTTCAAGTTTCAGTATGGGAATCATAACAACCACTTTGCTCAGGAGGATGAGACGCCTATGATTTATCTGCCCCCTCCGAATCCCTCTGCCGAGCAGGAGGCTGCTAGCACTGCCCCTCCCAAAAAGAATATATCTCGTAAACATGCCAAGTTGGCTTACAATGCTGTCCGGGGATGGTTTGAACTGGATATCATGGGCAAGAATGGCGCGTTTGTCAATGAAGAGTTTGTGCAGGTGGGGACAAAGCTTATCATCGATCCAAAGGAGGGGACCAAGGTTCAAATTGGAGGTGTTAGCTTTGTTGTCTACGTTCCTGAGCACTTGGATGGTGGCCCAGAGGTGATTGAGCCCCCAGCTGCGAGTGGGGGGGCGGGCAAAGGGAAGGGTGGCAAGGGAAAGGGCGGAAAATGCAAGAGTACCAAAGGGAAAATGACGTTTTCCTTTAGTGATGATAATGGTATGGAGAGTGATTTGAGTGATCCGGATGTGAATATGGGTGATGATGATGGTGACGAGGATAGTGTAGGTGGGAGTGGCGATAGTGGGGAGGGTGAGAGAGGAGAGGAGAGTGATCAGGATAGTGATGAAGGGGATGAAGAGGATGAGGACGATGAGGACGATGAGGGTGAAGAGGGTGATGTGGAGAATTCTGAGGAGGTGGAAAGCTCGGGCGATGAAGGGGAGAAGGTCTCTCCAAGCCCTGAACCCGCTAAGGTTGAGAAGCGCGGTCGGGGGAGACCTCGAAAAGATCAGACTGAAGTCCAGCGAAAAGAATTGGTGAAAGAGAAAGCTGCGGCGGAGCGGGCCAAGGCAAAGGAGAAGGAGAAGGAGAGACGACAGAGAGAAAAGCTGGAGGCACAGCAAAAGGAGAGGGAGCTTGAGAAGGGGCGTGAGAAAAAACGATTCGAAGCTCAACGACAAAAGGAGGAACGCCGACGTCAAAAAGAACGACTGCAGAAGGAGAAGGAGCAGGAGAAAGAGAGGAAAAGGTCACATCTTCCAGTGTCGGCAAAGGGTGGGGGAGAAGAGACGAAGAAGGAAGGGAAATTATATCTTCCTCCTCGGCCCTCGGCCAAATCTGAGAAACCCTCTGCCCCGGCCCAAGAACGAAAGGGCCCAGGGCGGCCTCCCAAAGAGAAGAAACCCGAGACGCAAAATCAAGCTCCGCTACAACTGCTGCTCCCCCAACAACCTCAATCATCCACCCAGAAACCACGGCAAGAAAATCCTGCAGATTCCCAACACGATACCGAAATGTATCATTCTTCTTATCACGATGACCTGGAAGACCTTGCGCCCTTAGCGGCTGCGAATGAAGCTATGTCCATGCTGATTGACCCCGCTCTTTCGTATGATTTGCCCCAGGCTCAGCCTACGCCAACTGTTTACCAGCAAGCCCCGAAGGAGCAAAAGAAGGGAAAATCCAAGAAAGCAAAACCGCCCCCAAAGAAAAAGCGCAGTCCCTCTCCTGAAATCAACGAAGCTGATTTCCCCCCTGAAGCTTTGTTGAAGCCCTCAGCCTCTTATGTCGTTCTTATCCATGAGGCAATTTCGTCTTCTGAAAGAGGCGCCTTGACTTTACCAGAGATCTACAAAGCCATTGAGCGGAAGTACCCTTACTACAAACTGAGGGTCACTACGAACGGGTGGCAGAGTAGCATTAGGCACAATCTTGGTCAACACAAGGCTTTCTACAAAGTTGAGCGTAGCGGAAAGGGTTGGCTATGGAGCTGTGCAAAAGGTGTCAGCATTGAGAGGGAGAAGAAAGCTAGTGCAGCTACTCGCTCTATAGGCCCAGTAATCTATGCATCCGGATTTTCAGACGGCCATCGCAATGTTCAAAACGGACAGATGTCATCATCTCAGTACTACGGTGGCGCTCCACCCCAATCTATACCACAACCCCCCCAATACTTGCCATACCCTCAATCTCAGCAGCCGCAATACCAACCAGCTCCGGCGGCACCAAGCGCGGTTCCAGCTCCTCGTCTACCTCCGGCGTACTACGCGCCAATCCCCAGTCCCACGAGTTTGAAGCAGCAGCCGCAGCAACATGCGCCTTCTCCACAGCAGCAGCCGCCACTCAATGTGCAAAGTAGCGGACATAGCCCTGATTTTAATGAGGCGATTATTGGTCTTCGAGCGTTGATTCAACAGCACAAGGATGCTCCCGGGCCACGCTCACCTGAGCTGCTTAAGATGGCAACCGAAGTGCTTAACAGCTTGTTGGATAAGGACCCTGGTGCAATGGAGGCCATCAGGAAATTGACCGCTATTATTAAGCAAATTGATCAGGCGAAGACTGTTGCCCAGCCGCCGATTCTACAACAATACCAGCAGCAACATGGGCAGACCCAACCCGGGGAGGGCAAGGGTGTTACTGCTTCGGCGGTTGGCATCACTGCTGCTGCTGCGAGTAACCGCGCACCAGTAGCGGTTCATCAGCCGAATAAACCTTCCGTTCCCATCAATATCAAAGCTCTTTCGGCAGAGGAGAAGGCTGCGCTGGTTAAGAGGTTGCTGCTGGCCAAGAAGCAAAAAGAACAAGCTGCGGTGACGGCAGCTGCTAACAGAATCTCTTCTGCTAGCTCTTCAGTAGCGGTGCCTACGCCCGCTCCCGCCACACCAGCACTCGCACAAGCATCTCTTCCCCATCCTTCGCCTCCAGCCGCCAAACCCGTCTTGGAACCCACTCTCGACCCTACCTCCGTTACCTCCGCTGCCACTGCAGACTCTACGCAACATCCAACAACCCCCACCTCCACTAAACGACCCCGCGAGCCCGAACCGGAGCCCCAAGGCTTGGAAGCAAAACGCCAGAATACTGGCTAGGCAACAAAAATTTGTGGGAACGATCCTGGTCCTTTCCCGTTCTTATTGTTTCCCTTATCTACTATTATTTTCTATAAACTAGAACGTCGGGCGGAACCATTGGTCCATTTGTATTATCAATTCTACTATCCCCTATACCAAATTTCTCCTTTTGCTCTTCCTCCCACTCCTTCATCAGCCCATGTGTTTTTTTTTTTTTTGCGCACTCTGTGGTCATTCTGCTCTCTTCAGGCATGGTGGTACTGTTGCGTGATTTGGCGTTGTTCGCCCCTTTACTTGCACTCCCTACCCGCTCCTGGGGAGTTTGTGCAGGTGGGGGTGGGAGGCTGAAATTGGGGTAGTGATACTCATGGTAGAAGGGGAGATGGAAGGCGGGCGAAGTGAGTTTGTGAATGGTTTGGATTGAATCTTGGGACAAATGTTTTAACATGAGAGGGTGCTGGTGCCGGCCGAAAGGTCCTTTTCTTTCCGTTTTCCCCTCTTCTACCCCCACCCTTTGTCTCCTCACTTCTCGTTGTATTTACTTTGATTCTTGTAATTTCTTTTATGAGGTATGATGTTTTTCCCCTCCTTTCTATTTCCCACCCTGTTTTTTTTTGTGCTCCCTGTGTGGCTTTATGATGGGAATGTAAGTAGGTTAATTGCTTTTTTTTGGCCCTAGATTCTGTTGCATTGGGGGGGGGGGCGGTGTCATGCGATCGTGTTCATAAAATGTCACTCGACGAGGTGTATGCTTTTAAAAAATGTCGTTAGAATATTGATTTCCCATTCCCTTGGTTGGCAGCTCTATCGTCTATTGATTGCACAAACAGAGCGTTCCCGCCGTGTGTGTGGTGTTGGGTATGTGCTGGTCGTGCGTGGGAGGATGTCATTATATGTCGCAGGCCACGCATAAGTATCCTATTATACACATGGACGTTTTGCTTGCTTGCTTCCTTGAGTAATGTGTGATTCTTGCATTCTCCTCCCCTTCCTCTCCCAGGCTATGCCTTTCACACTTTTCCTCGGTTTGATTGATGAATTATCCTCTTGGGTCGTTGTTTTTTGTTTTTTTGTTTTTTTGTTTTTTTTTCGGCACAAATCTTGGTGGAGTGCTATGTAACATGACGTGGGTTATTTATTTAGTGGAGGTTATTCGATTAAGCTATCGTACAGTGGGACGAGCTCGAGTATGATACAAAGCAGGGTCTTGTGCTGCAACGTCCCAATTGGGGGAGAGCTTCCAGGAAGGGAAGGGAAGGGGGAGAAATGTATTCCATCAAACTGACCTCTCTGTCAAGATAGGGTCCATCCATCTATCTAGAATCACTATCACAGCTCCGGCAACGGTCAGGACATCACCGTACGTACAATCCCGCTTCCGGCCCTCTCCGATATACCCACGAGCTTACTCCTTGTTGGCCTGACCCTTCTCAGAATCGCTAATGCCTGTACCCTCGTCCTAATCCCCGATATCCAGGTCCACGCCACCATGCTGGAGCAACATCTCCACGACCTTCGCCTGGCCCCTCTGTACGGCCATATGCAGTGCCGTCTGACCACACGCATCCCGGGCATTAACGTTAATCCTCCGGTCGGCCAAGAGCAACTCCACAATCTCGCACATAGGCTCACTCAGGGGCGGCCCGTCCACCACCCCCCAAAATTCCTCCTCCTCGCGCGTTTCACCCCAGAGAACCGCTCCCCCAGCTATATTCGCGCTTGGCGAGATCCCACTTGGCGACAGGCCACCCTCCTGAATCGCGAACATCAACGGGGTGGTCCTAGTCAGCGAGGCCCGGGCGTTGACATCAGTCCTAATGTTCGCCAGGAGCGCGCGGACCCCGCGCAGGGAGCGGACTTGTATAGCATAGTGCAGGGGACTTCGGCGTGTGGTGCATTCCTGCACATTTGTGTTTGTGCGGGGGTCTTCGATGAGCGTTTCCAGCACACCGCTTGGTTCTGATTCGCTGGCGGCGAGTTTGATGGCGGCGAGGACTGCCGTGCCGGGTCGTGCGTCCGAGTCGATCTCTATGTCGTCGCTAGAGAGGAGTGCCTTCAGGATGTCCGAACTCTTGAGCTGGATTGCTAGCATCAGAGGTGTATCCAGGTGCCAGCTGGTGGGGTCCACAGCATTGGGGGATATGCCCGAGGATATCAGGGCTGCTATTATGCCGGCTGCGCGTGTGCGGTCCGTGGGGGCGAGGTCTTTGATGGCCTGGCAGATGAGTGGCACAGGACCAATTTTCTCAAGGATCCCCTGGGAGTAGAGGCGTTCCAGCAGCGATTTGTCGCCCCGTCGGGCAGCCGTGTATATCCCCCTCCGGCAAAGGTCCGGGGAGGAGCTATGCTGGAGACTGTCGAAAAGAGCGAGTTCCAGGGATTTGGCTAGACATGGGTGGGCGTTGCTCAGCACCGCTATATCCCGCACAGCTAGGTTTGAGGCTATAAGGAGGAGGAGTTCTGCGGGGAGGGTTGTTAGATACATTCTTCGCTGCTGGGTGGGAGGAGCGGTGAATGGAGGATTTCGCTATTCCAAACGGGAGGACGAGAGAAGAGGAATTGGGCGTTTTATTATGCGAGCACAAATATGGTATGTCGCCCCAGGTCTACTTATACCTGATTGAGGGCGGGTCCACCTATGTGGTTCCGGGTAAATATATCTCACCACCACGAACGGGAAGCGGGAAGCGGGCAGTCGTTGTCGTTTGTATGAAACATCATACCGGTAGATTGATTCCGAACCCCATTCAAAGCGCAGCATCCTCCGAAGATGGTGCCCTTGCTCACTCTCGTGCCTTGGGGGGTGGGGGGCGGGCAAAACCCGGATCCCACACATTCACATTTTTTTTTCCTTCCTGTCGCTCGTATCATATGTATGATAACTTTGATCCCGCTTGAAAAGCACTGATAGGGTACGGTATCATGCTAGGTGCGGGTATTTAGGCACTTTCTCGCTGGACCGGATCGGCACTGTCAGCTCGTACTACCGCGCTATCATATCATCAGGAAGCCTAGCGCACCCGACTGCCGGTAGGGCAGAGTAAACAAGTTAAGTTACCGTACGGCAGATCAATGATCACCGACCGACCTGTGTCACCATCTATAATATCAGCGCGGATCCACTCTTATGCAGCGATGCAGTGAAGATGACAAAACTTTGTCGACGTTATTTGGCGGTGTCAGGAGGTTTAACGAAATCATGGTGATGCCTACTTGTACGCGGCAGTGCATAATAGCGAGGTTGTCTACGTTGATTATCGCAAGGGTTGGTAGACTAATCTAAGATCCATCTATTGATAGAGAGTTTGCGCAGTGAGACCTAGGTGATGTTAATATAAGTTAACAATAAGGCTTGGCCACCTGGTTCCTTGGTCCCACCTGGTCAAGGTGTAAAAACCCGAAAATCGGACCCGGAATTGAGGACCACAAATGCCCACTTGAACTGCACTTTTATGCCTCTATTCAGGTATGATTTTGTAGCTATTCTTCTCAAGGACAATCCTGAGAAGAGAAACTTCATGAAAGTTAAGAATTGGCTGATGGATCGACCTCTTAAATACATGGAATTTAAGAAACTCAACAATTGTCGGGAGTTTGATGGGCTGTTGATGCGAGTGGCAACCCCTAGCGACATTGTTAATAACTCCCACCTGGGTCTACCTGCGCGAACTCTCCAATTCCGGGCGAGGATCCTGGCGCAAACGCGAAAATCACAAGACAACCAAGCCAAACAAAAAAAAAATACACGGCGTAACACTCACTCGCAAAACTATGTTCACAAACAAACAAACCACTCCCAATAAGGACGGGGCCGTAATGTGATTCTATCGACTGGGTAGAGAGAGTGAGAGCACTCCCAACGCTCTAATCCGCCCACACCCGTTCACTCCAACGGGCGCCCGCTCACGGGCCGGTATCATACAGCAGTATGCCAGTGGGGATGGGCGACGTGGGACAAGATCCCTTATCTAGACCCCTGTGGGGGGGTACAAGTACCGTATCACAGTGTTATGTTAACTTATCGGTGGAGTATCATAGAGCATGATATGATACCAGTAGTCACTCGGCCATCTGTCCCGAGGGATAAATCCCAAAGAAATGGGATGGTAATATCAGTAACTATTGTACGCAGTCTGAAGCTCAAATTTAGAAGCCGGGGAGCGGTCGAGTATTACTTGTATCATACGGAAAATGGCTGGAAACGGGTTTGTCATGTGTGAACAACTCCCATAGCCCCTCATCCGTACGGTAGACAGGCGCTGGATGTGTGGCACAACACAAGAGCACAACACACCACAACACGCTTCTCGCTCGCTCTCAATCACGAATTTCACCCAATGAGAAATCTTGCTAACAATAAATTCATGCCGAGGCAAATCAAAAGACCGAGCCTCTAATCGATTAACTAACAAGTAATAACTCCCCTGGGGAAAAACTGGTTCTCGACATCTCGGCCGCTTTACGAGCCAGCTATGATGGGTACCACACCTTCGCCCCAGTTTCACCCTCCACGGGGGGATCCAATACTTATCCTAACAGGAGGCGGATTGATTAATTTAATTACCGAATTATTTCCCCCTTCTTCGCGTGATAGTGATAACCATCCTTTCATTGTCAAACTGTACAGTACAGCTCCGACCCCAAGAGATTTATTTACTCCCGATTGTAAAGAAGGAAAGGACGCCCCTGCCCCCCCGTCCGGGATTGGGATAAGTTTCTGGACAAGATCTTCCGAGAGCTAGAGGGAGTTTTCCTGGCGGGGTATGTATGTATGTATGTATAGGAACGGGTACATTCTTAGAGGTATCGTCTGATATTACAAAAATTCCGACAACTGACGGTCGATTGAATAATCATGCAGGGAATATCGGTACGTTAGCGGAGCAATAAAAAAAAAAAATTCACAGCCTTTTGTAATCTCGTTTGGGCCATTGCGTTCGACTTTCAAAGCGTTGTTACGCTATATAATAGTATGACAAGGTATCACAGAATTCTGAGATCACAGTCTGTCACTCGATTTACAGCAGATTTTTATCACTGAAAAGGTGGGAGAAAGAAAGAAAGAACGAAGCTTGATTTTTTTTTTCTTTTTCTATATCGTGCACAGGTGTGTGCCTACATCCCAATCCGAGAAAAACAAGACAGAAGGGGAGAGGAAGAAAGAAAGAAAGAAAGGAGGGGTGGAAGAAACTGAGGTTGGCAATCATATGAGAAACCTCGGAGGAAAGGTCGAGTATCGAGCCAAGCAAACAAGACCTGAGCCACTGACTGTACGAGTACAGTACTATACAGTACCAACCTTGTGTATAATAGCAACCACTCTTTCACACGCCACCACTGACATTCCAGATTGAAAGGTTCACTTAGTTCTAGCATAAATCTCTGAGATTCCCGTCCGGAATTCTCCCAGTATGTATACTGGAACGTTGGAACGTTGGGACAGTGGGGTGATAGATGAAACGCTGTTCACCGAGCCGAGCTGGTCTTACACTCTTTGAACGCTATATTATATAATATGAGAGGAAATATATCAAACTTCACAACCAGAGAAGGAAAAAAAGCGAGTGTAGATACTATATGCGGGAGAGAACAGTGAGAAAAACACTGCATAATGATAGCTAGCTTCCTACGGCACTGCGCCCACTTAAACCTTCAGGAAATTGGCGGACCTTCAGACGCTCTGACCCTCTGCAAGTGTTGCTCTTCGGGGTGATTCACTTTGAGAGTGACTTTCGTCACATTACTTCTGGTTGGGCTTCCTTTGTGATTCGCGTACGCTCTCAGTCGGCTGCAGGATATAATACATACGAGAGGGAGAGCGGCTTCTGCATATAATGGGTATGGTGTCGGGTCCGCCGTGAAAGGCGGCAAAGGACTCGGCGTCTGGGTCTCGCATGGGCCAATGGTTGCGTTGGGACCGGTGATCCCGACGGTGCAGTGCCCTAGTGCGCTTTGGACCAACACGTGTCCCAACGATACCGTTCAATAGTGTACGGTATGCGAGTCACCTATTATCATAATATAGCAAAGTAAATTATGGCTCTGCTCCAAAGCTCGGAACTCACGGCCACGAAAAGACCTTGTCATCTAAACACCATGTGTACGGCCGTAATAACTTCTTGTATTCCGTATTCTTGTTCAAAGCCACCAGATCTGTTGTCAAAGTATAGCTGTTTGAAAATCTGAGTACAAATGCCCACACAACGTGAAAAGGAAAGAAGAAACAATACACTCCACTTGCTCCCAAAGCCAAACCAAACCACCGAGTTACCCGCAAAGGAACCGAAAGAAATAACAGAAAGGGGGAAACGGCAGAACCGTAATAAATGCTGAGAAGGGCTAGCGGAAGGGGAGCAGGGTTGAGAGAGAAAAGGAGGTTATCCACAAAATATCTGGACGCCACAATCAAGGAAACACAAACATGGAGATAGTGTGTACACCCGCAGTCATTGTCCCAAGGCCTGTGCTTACCGTTGCTGACCCGACAGGCTTCCCCCGAACATCAAGGAAAAGAGAATCCTAGGAAACAGTTGATGGGGGGGAAAATGACTATGCCAGCAGCACCCGAAAATTGATCTTCTGCAAAACGGTCTGTTGAAAAACATTAGGAAAAAAACAAACACAAAATCTAAACTTCCCACATCCCTAACCTAGATTCCCATACCCCGACGATCATCCAATTGCTTATTACATTGCCATTTCCGCTCGCAACTTCATCAATTCTGCATCTTCGTCCTCCTCGATTGTTTTCCCCTTGACTAAATACCTGTTAGCGACATATTCCGTAGTATGTAGGTAAGAAGGTGGGAAATAAAGCTTACCGGCTTGGGGCGTTGCGGTAACCGGAGCAGATGGGGCACTGAGCATTTGAGTATCTAGCTGTTCTTGCTTGATATTGTCTAGTTCTTTCAATAACTCAGACTCGTCGGTGGGCTCGCCCATCTGAACAATTGCGTTGCCGATTTCCTCGGCAATCATTTGCTGTTCTCTGATTTCCTCCCTATAACGTAGCCCGTTAGTATTCTGTTTTGTTTTTTTCAAGCACAACAAGATTCCCTAGCCCAAGCTTTGTGTATCAAAAACAAGGGTGAGGACAGCCCTCAAAAGAACCAAAATCCAGATCGGCCTGAAGGGTACCAGGCCGAGCTGGACCAGGATTCGTCTACCCTTTGAGGTTTCGCCCCAACACCTCGCTCGGTGCTACACTTAATCGGTGTATTGAATCTATGCTAAGAAAAATAGTCACGTACATAGTCATGTCGACCTTATCCAGGTTCATGCCGCCATGGATTTTCTTCATAGCATCACTAGCGGATTGCATGACCTTCAGGGTCTCATAATTCAGGTTCGCCGTCTCAATAGAGTGCATCTGCTGCTCAATGGTATTGATCTGAGCAACGGTTGAAGCAAGGTGGGTCTCGTGTGTCTTCTTGCGTCTTAATGCAGTCATGGCGGCTATATCATAGGTGAGAGAATTAGCCGAAATAACGACAAGACACGATCGCTTCAGGGTAGATTTGGAAGCACAGGCACACCGTACATCCAGCAGCAACCCGCTTGCTGTGCTAGACGAGAATGTGCGAGGCTATAGGATGTCTAAGGTAGGTAGATAAGATGGTAGGGAGTTAACACGAACCATTTTTATTAGTCTGGGCCATCTTTCGGGCGGTGGCTTCTTGCTGTGCAATCTCCCCTTCAAGATGCTTCTCCTTCTTTTGCAGCATCTCCAACTGCTCCCGTAACTTGAGAATAGCATCCTTGGCAGAGTCCTTCTTGTTTGCGGCACCGCCGCCGAACCAGCTCCACATTTTTGCTTTGAAAAGGAGATTTGGTCGTGAAATCCGAAACCACGGAGCCGAAGCTTTATAGCGAGTGTGTGGGGTTGTTGGTATTGTGGTCTTTGGTGAAGCGAGGAGCGGGAAATTAGGAAAGAGAGAGTGATGGGTGCTTAATCGGGACAGGGAATGAATCGACGGGTGACGAAGCTTGGTTTTGGTGGGGCCTTGCTGACTAATGGCGGCTTAAACATCGACTTGGCGCCACAGGCCCGGGTTAGTAGCCATAGTTAGGGACGTGCACAATCCTACTGTACGAGTACTCATATGGTGCTCCAGCAGAGTCCCAAGCCTCCTCATACCGGTGCCCACCAGGTGCCTTGGTATTTGAGTACTCGTATACCGTACAAACTCCCTGCCTCTCCCGCACAGAACTAACTATCCAGGAGACCACAATACCGGTACGGTACTCAAGCACCATAGAAGGTTACTTCTCCATCCCTAAATTCCACGGAACACCTAAGCTGATGCCACATACCCATCTATCTAGCTAAGCGACCCAGAGATCCTCGAGTAAAAAACTCTGAGAATGCCCAAGAAAGGTCCCGCGAGGAAGAAGGAGGTCCCGACCCGAGAGCGATATTCACCACCACCACCGCCATCATGGCCACCCCTTACTCCGGTAATCCCGTCTGAGGACCTAACGGTGGAAACAATCCTACCCATGCAAATCCTTACAATCCCCAAATTCTTCACCGCGGCACTCTGCAGAATATACCACAATTTCGTTTCCCAATCCCTCGATTTGACCACAACGCCCGGCAAGCCGAAACGTGGTGAAGCGTTGCGTGTGAATGACCGCATCTCAATATACGACCTGGGCTTTGCGGAGCGTTTGTGGAACGAAACGGGATTGAAGGATCTTGTGGCACGGGAAGCCGGTGAGGATGGTGGGAAGGAATTGTGGGGCGGGGAAGTCATAGGACTTAGCCCAAATATCAGAGTTTATAGATACTCTAAAGGCCAGTTCTTCGATAAACACTGTAATTCCCCTATCCACGGCTTCCGTGGGGTAGAGATAGTATTAAGTGCTTGACAGATGATGATACGGCCTCGTTCTCAATCGGTGATCCGCAGGTGAGAGTTCAGACCACATGGACGCTATTGATATACCTCACTGGGAGGAGCGATGGGGTTCGCGGAGGGGAAACGGTGTTCTACACCGAAGCAACAAAGCACACCCAGGGCGAGGAACACGCCATTGAACCTGAAAAGGGAACTGCGCTATTGCATAGACATGGAGCTCACTGCCTTCTCCACGAAGGGAGAGTGGTGACGGAAGATGCCGGGGTCGGGAAGTGGGTGTTGAGGACTGATTTGATAGTCGGACGGTAATATTCTCGTATATGCCGACGGCAAGGCGTTTTCACAGTCGAAAAAACGCGTCGATACCAGAAATTTATCCTCTATCTCAATACCAGATTTCGTTTCACGACGCAATGGCGCCCTTCAAACAAGAATCAACCTTACGGAAAGTGAACTCTGTATCTGGTTGGCCCAATGATCGTAGACAGTGCCTGTGGGATTACTTGAATTGCGGGACATTAGACAATGCATCACCATCAGCTAGTGCCGGTAGCTTAACGTAAGTCAAATATCCAGAAATAAAGTGGAAACACGCAATCAGCCTTCCAGAACGTAGGATACCGGAAAAGGGTCCGAAACCGCTTTGGTCTTCCAGCCATTTGCCAGTGAAACAAGCCATGGCCGCCTCACGTCCTTTCCCATTGGCACCATCATCACCCCACCAACTCCTAACACCCCCTCACTCCCCTCGTACCACTTGAACTCTGACATCCCATCCACCAAACGCCTGCGGTGCTGTACCCCTTCAATTCGCCTCCTTCAGTTTTCAGATACTCGAGCACTTGTACTTACCTCGGAGATTATGAGTTCAGCTACTACCGACTCTTTGTCATCAGCTATCAATCAATAGTCTCGCACAAACATTCCAGTTATGAATCCACTTTCCCAATACCGTGCTCTATTTCCAATGCCGGTCCTGCATGATACCCGCATCTCTGTCCCTCCATCCATCCATCCATCCATCCGTCCAGAACCCCCATCACCTCGTATTCGATCAAATGATCAACAGCAACATTTTCACCTACCAACCAACCAATCAACCCACCCCAATCCACCGAACGTTATCCAAGAAATGCACTGCCCTGTTGCACACTTCCCCCGTTGGGCAGAGACATACACCGTAACACATATCGGAATCCATACATCACCCAACCCCAGTAATTGGAGACTTTGAGAAAGGGCCCTACATGTGAGGCAAATGCGGCTCTGGGCCAACCAAATCGCTTGGACTTGGCTCTGGACGGGAAATGGCAAAGTCTCTAAAAAAAAATAGAAATGCACGGGATGGGACACGGAAAAAAACCACTAAATTAACTTGGAGGAGGTGATGAAGGTGAAACAAAGGACCCCCGGGCACAATAGCTCGGGAAACTCGGGTGATGAGCTATGGTAAGAGCACTTGAGGAATGGAAGAGGATTGTTGCGCCTAAGGGTACGCTACCGGTGGATAGTCGGGTTCGCAAGGCAGAGTCTTCAAGAAAGTCGGGGGCCGGGGGGCGTGTGTGTGGGGGGGGATGAGATGTTATTCGGGCGTTCGGCTATTCATGGCAAGGATTTTTGTGTCTTTTTTCTTTTTGCTCAGCGGACAATTCGGTATCGGTAGCGGAGATAAATGTTACACAAGAAGGAGGCACAGCCTGAATGACGACTATCGGGGGGTCAGAGGTATCACAGTGGACCACCATAGGTAGGGTTAAGCTTCTGGGTGAACGAGTTAGAGTTAGATATGTTCAGTTCTTTTGGTGCTCCAATTCTGAGCCGGCGGGTCGGGGAGCAGGCATCATAGCACATATCTACGAAGCGATCAACGGGGGGGGGGCTCTACTCCAGACAAGATATATATTGTGAGATTCTTTCCCCGCTCTTACATATTTCTGTGTGATACTTCGGTGCCGGCAGCTCATTTCAGTGTCATAGCTCAGGACTTTATCGAAAATGTCAGTAACAGTTACAGAAGTTCCTGACATTGCAGCGGCTTCTGATATATCTTCGTCGCAAAATCCTTATCGCCTGTCACATTGTGTCAGGTCCGAAGTGTCAATTACTCTTGCGATCATTCCACCCTCGCGACCAATAACTCCCCAACCAGAGGATGAACAGCCACCGTCTGCTTGCCCCTACCGGACCCTCTCTCCAACCTCACCAACCACACGTACCCGTAGCGGTTCAATAGCATCCTCCCTTGACGCAGCAAGCGACGATGAACCGTGCTTGAATTCGGCCGCGACTTCAGTCACCGATATCTCACTTGCTTCGAATATCAGCGACATCGTGTCTCCGGATACAACCATCTACCACATCTACCGCAACGGCAGCGCACACAATAACTTTAGTATCCACACGGTCAAGGATTCGAACCTAAAAGAGACATTGCAAGAGCCCGATGGCCCTCCAATCATCATCGACAGGGGCGAACCAATCTCAACCCGCATCAAAAAGTATAAGAATCGGAAGTCCAAGTTGCCAGCGAAGGAGGTGAAGGTCGAAGATCCAGAGACGGACCCACGTAAAGCCACCTACTACATGCATTCCCCGTTAATATATTGGCATTGCCCAGCACAAACTCTGCGTTTCGGGCACAAGAAGACGGCGCCGATAGTCTGCTTGGTGAACGGAGGTTGGTTCTGGAGGACCTGGAGAATGGATTTTGTTGTCCCAGAGAAGGAATTGAAGAAGTCGGCGAAGCAAAACCGCATCGATAGTGGCTTCGCCGATGGGGAGGGTAAAGGTATATCTGGGAAAGAGTGGAAGAACTTAAATGACCCGGGTGTCATCGATCCACGAGGCGTTCTGGCATCCAAATACCCACTCCGACGCTCAGGACATAGAAAGGGGGAGAGTGGGAAGAAGTATGTAACCGAGTATACCAAACGACGAAAAACGACAAAAGCAGCCCCGGACCCGCAGTTAAAGCGGTCAAAAAGCTTTTCCGATACGGCCCGACGAATCTTCCGTTTGAATACTGCTTCGCCCGCCTTAGGGCCTAAGGATGAAGCAGATGCTACAGCTAGATTGAAAACCGAGGGCACAGCAGAGCCTACAACTGAGCCCACAAGGGAAGAGGAAATCAAGTCGATGCTCCCATCCGGCCCTAAGCCGGAAGACCTGCCTGACCACCTAAAGCCTGAGACTTTGGAGGAAGGCAGCCTACTGATGAAGTGGTCCGGCTGGCTCACCCGAGAATACAGCTTCAAATGGAGGGGTATAGAGTTTGTGTGGAAAGGGACCGGCACGGTCCGGGATGAGAAGAGGTATTGGGGCTCCTTGTCCCGATACAATCACCTGAAGCTCGTGGTAAAGATCCCCGAGGAGCCGGAAGAGAAAGTGGAAGAGGAGGTCACCACCGAGACCAAAGACGATAAAAAGGAGCCCCAAATTTCAATACGTCGACAATCTAGTTTCTCTAGCTTCGTCTCTACAATCACCCGGAGAAACTCGAACGCTAGCCTATTGTCCGCTGGCCGCAGCGGAAAGCCAAGAGGCCATCGTGAGGTCGTGATCGCGAAATATACCTGTTTGCTCGCCCAGAGGAAGTGCGGGAGATTCGTAATTTATGAGAAGGCACTGCGGGAAACGACATATTTGACCCTGGATGGGAATGATCCGGATGTTGCGAGGGAGAGACTCAGACACGTCGTTATTGCTACGGGGCTTTGCATGTTGCAGGGCGAGAAGCAAAAACGGGATACTATGAAGAAGGTTGCGGAGATAGGTCTGGGCGAGATAGCAAATGTTTCGGGGTAGTTTTTTTCCATTTACATTATGATAGCATTAATTTCATATTGGTATCTGCATCTCCTCTAGCACAGGTGAAACCTCCTCTGTGTAGCTCGGTATTTGCGGATGACGGGCCGTAAGGGGCTAGTTACCCCAATATATACCCAATACCGGTACCAAGCAGGGAGTTTATCCCTCCCTCTGCCCGGTGCTGAGTAGTGATCCAAAGTACTGTATCACAGTGTCGTGGTGAGCCGCTCACGAGAGTCGGTACTGTACAAGTACAGTACTTGCTATTATATACTATCATACCGGTAATACAGATATTAAGCAGCCAAACCACTCCCTAGCCCCGGAAGCGCCAAAGCCTGCCCACGCCGGGGGAGTCAGGTGGATCGCTCGCGGTATGATGCCAGCTATGCGAAGGATAAAATCATGGAATGTGGCTCGGCTGAGCGACGAGGGAGGAACCGACGAGAGAGATATATTGCGAGACTAAGCTGTAGATTTACCCAGAGCCTCTCTCGGATGACAAGAAGCGTACCATCCAAGTGCTCAAGGCCCACGAGAGCTCATTCTCGTCTCGACTATCTTACCTCCCACCCAGGTCGGCGTGGGCAGACAGTGTGGAGGATTCATTCAGCTTTCCTCGTATGGTACCATTTCCGGCAATTTTCTAAGCGCTGCACATGAAATGGATCAAGATGCCAGTTTCCATGGCGGAGTAATTAACTTATTGATGAAATCTGGAGAAGATAGAATTGGGAAATTGGTGGAGGCGATGGGGAAAACAGGGGACAAAAGTGGAAATGAACGAGTTTTTTTTCTCTTTTTTTCTGCTATGATAGCGCTTCCTGTGGTGCGGGGAGGAGTTTGGGTTCCTGAGCTGTGCTGTTTTAGGAACACCGTTGAGAAGTGGTGTGAATGAAGCCCAGGGATACAGTAATTTACAGTACGACCCATGCAGATTTGGCTACTGTATTAATACTTTAGCAAGAACCTTCTGCACCCGAGCACATACTGATTCCCTTCAATAATAGTCTTGACGTACGGTGCCCATACCAGAGTACTGTGTCGCCTATGCCAATTGTTGGAAGCCATATATCCTCAATTTCCCAAGTGGGAGGACGGGTGTTGTTAGGATGGATGAATCTCTACCAAGGGAGGGAGTTCGGTTGGGGTCGAAGAACACCAGTACTCGGGTGTAGAAGTAAAAAAGAAAATCAAAACCCGAGAGTAGTTGTATTTTGATCAATACTGGTATGAAAGCCAGCCATTGCTTCTCTCATTATGATAGCACTCATCAAAATATGAAAATGACTTCAAACTGGTATCAAATTCCTGAAAAACCAATTTCCTACTACTTGGTGTTAATTTTGTCTCAACACATTGAAATCTGGAAAACTCAGTGGTAGAAAGTGGAGTAGAAAAAATCCATATAAATGACCACTGTTACTACTTTGTATATTTACCTTCAACAGCAATAAGATAATAAATCTACTGAGGCATTAAAGATGTGTAGTTGGAAATTGTTTCTGAACTAATGTTATTCTATCCTTCAATAATAACTTATTTCAACTCAGGAACAGTGGCAGGGTGGAGATTCCAGTTGCTGATATTTTACTTTATTCTCTTCTAAACCTCTTCAATTAAAGACATGTTAGGAGAGCTAGCAGGACAGGGAAAACAATATGGCCCTGTATTGAGCCTGAGCTTGTTGAGTTTATTAACAGTAGTCTTAGCACGACAGGCAGTAGCTGTTAGGAGGTAGGTAACTCTAAAGACAGGTGAGTATAGTATACTAGGCCCAATAATCTTCTGTCTCAGAGAAAGTCAAGAAGGCTTGTAAGATAGAAGTTTTAAAGTAGAATGAATATATTGATAAGATATCTTCTCCGGTTGCTGATGATGTCTTAAAGCTAGGGAGGTACCTTGATATTTATATTTCACATCTCAGTAGAGACTTGTCTATCTAGGTCTATGTATATGACCAAATCAGTTTCTTTTATGTTTTAACTTTCTCAGAAAACCTGTTTCTTTTATTTTATCATTCTAGCATCATACTAGTATCGTTCCGGTGATCGCCTCTCCTATGTTACATCTGCCCAGTCTTGGTCTAGGTACTTGGAAGTCTCTGGCTTGCAGATCTTTTCGGCTATTCCAGTCAACTCAGGCTTCATTGCAATGACAGGGTTCTTTGGAGAACTCGATTTTTACTTCCATGACCGAGTACTGTACAGTACTCGAATAGGTATTAACCCAATCACCAATTCGAACCGGGAGCGCCGACACCAGCTTCCCGGCGATCGGCCGGAGATCGTTCTATAATGATCGACTCGATACTGGTACCTTCCTGCCCCCCTCCCGGAAAAAAAAGAAAATAACTGGGGATATTAAAAAATACGCATAAGCATCGGCGCCGAAATTGAGAACTGTTTCAGTTTTCCAAGTCGAGAAACCTTGGTGTGTGTACAGTACAAGTAGCTCCATTTTTGCATAATCACCCGAAACTTGGCACCAGGGCTGAATGACTCTCCTGGAACCTTTTCAAGGTGTCACAAGGTTTGGGTTGACAATTTTTCAGCTTCAGAGTGGGGGGGTTACCGTATTCATGCCCGTATGGCAGAAGAGACGGTGGTGCATCGGCGATTTGGGGAGAATTCTGTACATTTTTGTTTTACCTGCCGATAGCCGCCCGAGCAAGTCTGATCTCGTTGACATATATCTGGGGTTGCTGGCCTGGTCCGAGTATCCGAGTCCTCCTGCGGTAGCTCTGGTCTGACGTGGGCACTTACGATACTGGTAGCACCGTACGGCAGGCTAATCTGGTACTGACGCTGCAAACATCAGAGAACCGCATTAAAGAAACAAACGCAAAAATCTCATCGCCACTCTTGGTATCTTAAACATGCTTTATCCTCGCTACCCTATCACTATACTCACCAGCATCCTCTACATACTATGCGCTGCGAGAGCACAACCCCGGGGTGATAAGTACCTACTTGGGGTCGGCAAGGCTGATGTTACCGGTCCCGTGGTAGAGATTGGAATGATGGGATATGCCTCGTTGGACCAGAAAGGAACAGGACTTCGGCAAAGGCTTTTCTCGAGAGCATTTATCGTTGGAGACATCAACCAGCCGAATAATAATTTTGTCTATGTTATCGCAGACCTCCAAAGCGGCGATACGGCGATTAGGAATGGAGTTCTGGAAAAGCTTCGAGCCTTATATGGTGACCTCTATACGCAGTCAAACGTTGCTATTGTGGGAACCCACAGCCACTCTGGCCCAGGTTGGTTCCATCCATTCACCTCGTGATCGATTAATATCTACATTTAGGGTTTTAGGTTGACATTCCTGCGATTGGCTAGGTGCCTGGCTCAATTACCTCCTACCGCAAATAACGACCCTCGGGTTTGACTCGCAGTCTTACACTGCTATCGTTGAAGGGATTGTTAGGTCCATAGAACGCGCCCATGGATCACTGACACCAGGTTACCTTTCTCTCGGCAAAGGTCTCATCCAGGATGCAAATGTCAACCGTAGCCCTTACGCTTATGAGGCCAACCCAGAGAGTGAGAGAGCAAGTTACGAAGGCATCGGAGGGCAGGTGGATAAAGAAATGACGGTTCTCTCATTTGAGGACGAAAGTGGCAAGCCAATGGGGCTAGTGGTCATTTTGTTTTCCCAGCCTTTGCTAGGTTGTGATCGCTAATGTCCGTCTTTAGGCTTCTGAATTGGTTTCCTGTCCACGGAACCTCACTATACAATAACAATACACTCATTTCTGGAGACAACAAAGGCCTTGCTGCCCTAATGCTTGAGAAGGATTTTGGTGGGTCGTTCGTTGCCGGGTTTTCTCAAGCAAACGTCGGCGATACATCACCCAACACCGAGGGACCTATATGCCAGGACACGGGGCTTCCTTGTAGATACGAGGATTCGACCTGTGGGGGCAAGACCCAACAATGTATTGGCAGAGGCCCTGCTTTCCGAATCTCGGACACTGAATCCTGTCGTATAATTGGCGAGAAGCAGTATCTGGGCGCTAAGGCAATTTACCATAGTCCAGGCCAAGCATCAGTAGCGGGAGATGGTGGTGTTGTGAGAAGCTTCCATACCTTTGTCGACTTTTCGGACTACACGTTCCAACTATCGGACGGCACAACCAAGAAAACCTGTAAGGCAGCTCTGGGATTTAGTTTCGCTGCCGGGACAACTGATGGGCCGGGAGCCTTTGACTTTACCCAAAACGACCCGGATGCACCGAGTAATCCATTTTGGCTGTTAGTCAGAAACTTTTTAAGGGCGCCAAGCAAGGATCAAGTTGAGTGTCATAAACCCAAACCCATACTATTGGACGTTGGGGAGATGGACAAACCTTACCCATGGTATATAACTCGCAAATTCTAAGAGAATATACCTCTAGCGGTGGGAAGGTAGAGCTAATACTCGCATGCTAGGACTCCCAACATTGTCGATATACAAATGTTCCGCGTTGGACAGCTTGCTATCATCATTTCGCCTGGTGAGGCGACTACTATGTCCGGACGTCGATGGAAGAAGGCCGTGGGAAAGGAGTTGAACAACACAGGAATTGTTAGCAGTGGGGATAGCTGGATAGTGCTTGGTGGGCCGGCAAACAGTTATACACATTACATTGCAACTCCCGAAGAATACGCCATCCAAAGATATGAAGGGGCTAGTACCCTTTACGGGCAGTTTACGTAGGCGCCCTTATCTTGTTGTGGTCATTTTGGGCTTACCGACTACTTTGTGCGATATAGGCTGGATGCGTATATTTCGCTGTATAAGAAGTATATCCCTTATCTCGGCGCAACCCCACCATCCACTCCCATACCCCCGGGGCCCTCGCCACCGATAAACACCAACACCTCGATATCGCTTATCAGAGGGGTTGTCCACGATAGCCCGCGCCTCGGGAAAAGGTTTGGTGATGTTCTTACAGATGTTACTTCTGCTCCGTACTCGAGCGGAAACCTAGTAAAGGCAGTTTTTGTGGGAGCGAATCCCCGAAATAACCTCAGACTCGGTGGTACATACGCAGCAGTTGAAAGGAACAATGGGGGTACGTGGAGCAGAGTCAGGGATGATACCGACTGGAATTTGGTTTATCAGTGGAAGAGGACGGAATGGCTAAGTGGCCAGAGTGAGGTTACAATTAGTTGGACCATTGAGCAGGGAACTCCGGCTGGGAAGTACAGGATCAAGTATTATGGGGATTCAAAGAGTCCCTTTACCGGGAAGATTACTGCATTTGAGGGAACTTCTGGAACGTTCAGGATAGGTTCCACGCGGACTACGATATGTCTATCGTACTTTATCATACGAAGATACTTGTATAGTATATCATTGCCCACTGAGTGCGTATTAATGGAGCCCTACTATCAAGGCTAGTTTGGGGAATTGTTTCGGTTTTATTTTTTTGGGCTCCTGGCGTTTTTTTTGGTGCAATTTGGCCGATTCAGGAGGGACTTGGATCCCAATTGTGCTGGCGTTATGTTGAGTGTGTTAACTAAGTGTATGATCGCGCCTGTTAGCTTCCACAGTGTTTAAGAGGGCAGTATGTAGATTAAAGAAGTCGTTCGCATCCCGACCACTGCTAGGCGCGAGTACTTGTACCGGTACAAGTATGCCACATCTCCACAGTCCATATCAATCCAGCCTGGGATGCCGCACCCAAGTACCGGCACCGGTCCTCCAACGCAACGTAGTGTAATGGAATTTACACCGAAAACCAGAAGGGCTCATCGGAAGGCAAATCTTGGAGATCAAGATTTGGAATTTCGCCACCAAAACTTGTTGTCAGGTAGCCTACCGTAGTTGCTACTATTTTTTTAAAAAAAAATGCATCAAGAACACGGTATGCAACATCCACCTCCACGTTTACTAGTAGCGAACCCAAAACCGGCTTGCAGGGAGTACGAACTTTAGACTAGATGTCAGATAACGGTGCCTCGCGGATCCGAGGGGCTGAGTGGGGAATTGCTTTTTTTTCTCGACACCGGGCTCTAGCTTCTTTGTCTCATATCATCCCATGGTTGTGTGGTTGTAACGCCGGGAGTATTGCTAGAGACACTGACAGCAACATTCCAAGTGCGTGAGAAAGAAAAGAAAAACCATTGAAAAAAATAAAATAAAAATGGGGCTATTAATTAGTAGAATTACTAGAGGACTTCCCTTGTCAAAAATTGACAACCAATATCGACGATGGCGGTGTGAATCATTAATAACGTGCCAATTGGGGCCGATTCTTCGGGGGGGGGGGGGTTGTACCTGTTATGTACGAGTATGATACAGTACTCTGCTCTTTGACTGATTTATTACCGGTAGTGCTGCTACGTATTATGAAAAGTAGGCGATCGGAAGCTAAGTGAATTATCTTTTCCTCATATCGCCGAGCGTGATACTAGTGCCGTGTGATAGAGCAGCCAGGGGTCAGCAACCAGCAACACGCGAATGGGGGCGAGGGGAATGGGCAGGACGGCGACCGACTTTATAGATAATTTTGATATAGGCCACAGACAAAGCTAGGTACCGTGCTCGAGTACAGGCACTATGACCAATACCGGTGCACCGATTTTAAGGCAGAGGAGATCGTACCGCAATTGCAATGGCTGTGCGGCGGAGGGTAGGAAGTCCAAAAGCAGAAGTGATAACGCAGAGCTTCTGCTTTCCCTCTCTTGTCCCTTTATCTTCGTTTTCCTACGGTACGGTACCCCTCTTTTAGGCCTTGCTACCGTATGCCATTCCACGCTGTGATGTGAATCAATCAGTCTAACTCCATAATGACACCATTCCGCTCGGTGGTGGTGAGGATACATACTTCTATCATAGTGGCCTACTTATTTCCGACATGGGAGGGACAAGAGTTGAGTGACGTTTTTTGCATGGTGAGAGAATGGGCACGGGTCAAGGATTGGATGGTGGGTGTTAAAGTTACCATACCAGGAAGTGGGCGTGGCTAGACGCTGAAGAGGCGAGCGACCTAAAAAACGCCGCATTTTTCTCCTGCTTGGGCCTTTGCTTGACCACTACCGGTAATTCACGAGGGTCGGCACCCAAGGGCTAAGGAAGAGAGAGTGTGCGAGAGAAAAAAATTTCAGAATTTCAAATTCAAAAAAAAAAATCGGCTCCCATCTGGTTCTCTGCTCCTGCCTCTTCTGCTCCTCCTGCTTCGCTGCACATCTCCTGCGTCCTGCACCATCCAAACTTCCCTTTGGTGGAAAAGTCCTTGCTCTGGTCTCTTCCGCCCGTCCCATCTGCGGCTCCCGCTGGCTCGCTAGTTATCAAACTCTGTGACCGTTGTTCACTTATCGTCCACGCTTCTCGCCCAGGAATCTGCTCCCGAAGCCCGCTCTACGCTTTTGTTAAGTCCTGCTGCACCTTACAGTACTTCTTTTTCCCCATTCGTCTCTCTTGCGTCTTTTCTTTTTTTCTTTTTTTTTTTTCTTAAGGAAGAAATCAACGCGCACCACGAGAAGAGGCTGGGACCGGGTGCAATTGAAATTCAATAGGTATTTGATTCGTAGTATTGTCGTTGCCCATCCCCTCCTCCTCCCCTCATCCGAAATCGATTCCTCCTTCCTATTCTTTTATTCCATCTATCCTTTTATCCTTTCTGTTCTGCCTTTCTCTGCTCTTCAGGCACTTCACCCCTCTGCACTTTGTTTAGAAGAGAGTGTGAGGAAGAGACTTTCGAGGACTCCTATCGGAAACTGGATTCCTTATTGCCTTTTCCCCAGAATTCCTTCCTCCACCCCCTTAAGCATAGAATACATTTACCATTGATGGTGGAAAGCTAAACGAATTATTAACGACAGATCAGGGACTTACGATAAGTTTCACGAAAAAAAATCCTTTAGATCCTAAAATCCCGCCGAAAGGAACCGGAAAAATGACGGGGAGTTTCACATTCAAGTGGTTTGTTTTCCTTGCATTTCCTTTTCTTTCCTTTTCTGCCCCCAATTATCCCTGGCACATCATCGTTTTTTCCGCTGAGCCCTGGCTCAGCTTCCTGTTGCTCCAAAAAAAGGTGACGGGGCGGGGTTTAAGGCAGCAATGCCATAACTTTTGTAGTCGGTCACACTTGTGCTCGCAGGCACTCGGTTTGATTACGCTGTCGCGATTCTTTGCACAGTAGGATCAAAAGGGCTAATTGGACACTTTTGTGATGGATACAAACAGGGCCCAACCGGCTGAAGAGGTTTACGTCACTGGGTCGTTCGATGGATGGAGCCAGTCTATAAAGCTCAATCAAGAGGGAGATGCCTTCATTGCTACAGTTTCGCTGCCATCTGAGAAGATTCTCTACAAGGTACGTTGTCAATGGTTCTGTTAGCTGTTCCTTTCAAGCGTGGTTTTGTTGTAGTAGAGTAGAGTTCGGACCATTCACTAGTGTACGGTATGGGGATGCATGCTATAGCCAGTGCTGTTGTGCCTGTGGGAAGGAGCTTGACCAATTCGCCCCGGCATTCAGTCCTGTCGACTTGTGCGAGACGGCAGATTATGTTGTGCTTTTTCTGCGGCAATATTTCCCTCCACCCCTCCGCGGGCAGCCCTATAAATAGAACCTTGCTTATCACTCGCATGCGTCCTTATCAATGGCACCTCCGCGCACCGTTTGCTAACAGGAACCCTCTTTCTACGAGTAGTACGTCGTGGACGGAACCTGGACAGTCGATACCACTGCACGAAGGGAAGCTGGTGACGACGGGATTGAAAATAACGTCTTGCTACCTGAAGATCTTATCGAAGAGAAAACCGAGTCCGAACAGAAAACCGAACAAGACATGTCCTCAGCCGCTATTTCCTCGGCTGCCCCCGATTCTACTACTGCCGCACTCGCGGCCCAGGTCCCTAAGGAGACCAACGGCGACGTTGAGGATTCAACTATTTCCTCCGTCGCACCCGACTCTACTACTGCCGCCTTGGCCGCTGGAGTCCCTAAGGAGGCCAGAACCCCAAGCCTCAAGAATGTTCCTGGCGGATTCCCCCCGACTCCGGCTACCGAAACATCCGATCCTACACGTATGATTTCTCAGGAGGATGTCAAAGAGGTTACGCCTGGCGAACACACTCCTAAACATGACGATAATTCCGAAGATGTTAGTGGTGGTGTCATGCTCGATTTCAGCAGCCCCCCGATGCTTCCTGATGCTGTCACCCCTGCCGCCAAGAGGGAGGAGGAGGAGGAAGGAGGAGATGTTCCTGAAATTGTTAAAGATACCCTTGAGGCGGTTGAACAAAAGAAAGAGGTCGAGGAGGTGTTGAAGGAAGGCGTTCCTGTTGTCCAGCCTACTACCGAAGGAAGCGCTGTTATCGGTCAAGCGCAAGCCGACATTGCCGTTGCCGCTGCTGCCGTGACAGCGACTGTTGGTGGGATTGCCGCAGCTGCCGGACTTAGCAGTGCCTCTGGCGAGAGCAACGAGGAGACCACGCCCGCTATTGTCCCTGAGGCTGTCAATCAGAGTCAAGAGGCCGCCCGCGTTTCCCCCGAGGCTAGTGTGGTTGAACCCGCCGCCGAAGCGCCGAAGGGATTTGAAAGTCAGCCCGAGCAAGAAGTTTCCCCGACCAGCGAGCCCGCCAAACCCGCTGGACAAATTCCGGAAGCTATCGAGGGCTCTTTGGCTGGGGCTGCTGACGACAGGTCTGGGGTCACTGGTGGTGACGCTGTTGAAGCTAAGGCGGCTGTGGAGAATCAATTGAAGGATGAAGTCAAACCAGTCGTCCCCGTCCAATTGAAAAACACCGCAGACAATGCTGCTACCTCTACGACCCCCCTCCCGAAGCTTGAAGTCACAGACCCTCAAGAGGCTACTACTCCACTATCTCCAACGACCCCGGTTGAGCCCCCTAAGAATGGAACTCCCAAAAACGGATCCCCAAGAAAGAGTGTTGATAACGGAAGCGGCGAACCCCCTTCCAGTCCCACTCAACTTACGAGGAAGAAGAACCGATTTAGTTTTTTCGGAAACTTGAAGGAAAGGTTGCATTTCGGCAAGGATAGGGGGAAGAGCAAAGGTGAGATGAGTCCGTAAAAGGGGGGCAAGTGGAGGAAGGTGCGCTGTCATTAATGAGAATCGCGACAAGGGGTGGTACCGGTAATGATACGAAAAGTTCATGTTCTTTTGTTTTTAATTGTCTTCCTTTTGATACGACAAACCGTAATACATACTCAGCGGACTATGGGGCGGGAGGGCAAGCTAGGGATGAGGGCCTTGTGGAATTCCGTGTCAGCGGTTGCTCTTTTCCAATCGTGCATGGGGACGGTCTCCGGGTTTGGCTCAAGGGTTTGGGGTACCATTGTTCCCGTGGTGCGGTCTCCTTTGAAGTTTTTTCATTTGTCTTCCTCTTGAGTTTTAATTTGGCTATTGCCTCGTGGCACTGCTATGGAGCTTGGTTTGCGAAGGGATGAATGCACTCTTTTTTCTTTCTTGTTCCTGCTTTTCCTTTTTGCTTGTACTGCTACTTTTCTTTCCATCGCCTTATTTCAATTTCCTTTTTCCTTTTCCTTCGGTTCATGGAGAGGTTTTCTTTGCCGCTTGTAGTTGGTAATATGGAACAAAAGATACAAGGGGATCATCGGTTGCGGGATACAATGTTAGAGGAAATGGGGGAGAGGAGATTGGCTTCATTTACCCTTTTTCTGCCTGCTATCTCCAAAAAATTGCATTCAAACCCGAATCCATATCAATTCAAGCGAAGAAAAATTAACTCATGATTTATACTGCACCGTCCGAGACTGGGCCCAAAGCAGATGAGCAATGTGCAGTACTCGTAATTTACTAGCGGATTTCAAAACTGTCCGGTCACCTTGGCGGAAAGGCATGCAACGAGGTGCTAGGGTGTCTGGATACTGTCCAAAGAGGCTGGTAGTGGTTTTCCACTGAAAACGGCTGTCCTCGCAACTTTTCAACCTCGGATTCAGCGAGCAATCCAAACCCAATCCTCATGCATACGCGAAACAATGCCTAGATTTTACTCCCCAGTTCTCTAGAATGCTGGACTTAAAACCGTCTGAGGTTTTGTTAAGAGCACCGTGGTCGGTACATTAGTCTTGGCCCATTTTCGACGATTCCCGGTGATTCCGTGAGGGCACTTGTCCGGCTTGGTGTTTTTCAGACTTCAACTTTACAATACCAGCCGGTGCTCCGAATTTTTACTTCTCTCGAAAAATAAAGCTACTGGTGCCTAGAGACCGCCTCCCCTACCAATATCTCATTGCAGCATTGCCACTTGCAAATCTGGAGCCAAGGGGCGCCTACGATTTTGAGTTTATATTTTCGAAAGAGCAATCTTTACGCGATCCATCCTGTTTCGTTTTCCTATAATTATCCTGGATATACCGGTGATACCTTCACTTTTGGCTGCTAATGACGACTAGATTGTCTCCGTTTCCTCTCGACCAGACACGACACTTTACATTAAAACGGAGATTTCATGCAAAACTCTGTAACCGAGCTCGTGATTGAAGTTTTGCCTTGCGGCCGGGCGAACCTTCTCCCGTTTCTGGTACCGGTATTATGACACGGATACTATCTATGGTATAGCATCCGGGTACAAGTACAAGCGCAGGTTCCGCTAGTCGGGACATGTTTGGCCGGTTGACCTCAGATAACTGTTCTATAACTTGATGCCTTACCTCGTACCGTATAGGTAGTCTCTGACATAAGTCTGCCTTGCAGTGCCACACTACGGTGGAACCGTCACAGGGCTGGAAAATGTTGGATATAGCTTGTAAGCTTCCTCCTTCTCCCGTTCAGTTTACCGGTACTTGTATCTCATGATAGTGTCCAATATCAGTATAGCGCGTACTTGTAACAAGAATGCACTTGTACCACGGTTTATTACCTATCATCAGCCAAGACGAGCGGTAAGGATTGATGGAGTTATTGTCTAGATTGGGTGAAAATGGAGAGGTCTTACATAATATGGCACTCCATATATCACACTGTATACAGTATGTACTCACAGCGCTGTAATGTGGTACGCTTTCTGTGGACGAAAGGGAGATTTATTCCCGATGATAAACGGGGCTTACGCAACCAGAAACCGCCGATTTGGCATATATCTGGATAGCCCTTGGCGCGGTACGTTGCGCTGCCTTACCCGTCTATCTGCCGTCTGTCTGTCCGTCGGGAAAGCTCAAGCCCTTCCGATAATTGGCGGTTCAGAAGCGCACACCAGAGTTCTAGTAGCTTGGCGCTTTTGCTTGAAATAGTACTGAGGTGTGTAGCGGGTGCTTCTGCAGCAGATGGATTAGCCGCTTCATGCGTTTAAAGAATTTATGTGGGAATTCTGGGAGTATGGCACGTGACGGGGAAGGGCGTGCGAGTGTGTGAGTGTAAGTGAGAGGAGTATGATAATACCAGTGACGGCATTTACAATTTACCAGCACCAGATCTCGATAGAACACCTTCCTTGTCGACGGAGGTATGGTGGTGGTGGTGCTGGCGCCAGGCCCTCTGGGTGAGACGTGCTGCGGTGCTGTGCTCGTACAGTACTGTACCTGCATATGACCGAATCTGGGTGTTAATGGCATTTGTTACTATTTTCCACGTTGCTTCAAGGGGAGAGAAGGAGACGAAGCGGAAGGTGCCCCGCCCCGGTGGGGATCAGGCTAAGTAAGCAGCTATTGACGTAGTTGGTAAGACTAGGTTAGTTCAATCGAGGGGGTGGGCTGAAAGAAATGTTATGGCTATGAGTTGATGGTTACTATTTGGGGGAAGGGAACGTGATGAGAAGAAGGGCCCTGAGGATAACGCCCAAGGAAGTGCAACTGCTGCGGTTAGGTTGATGGAACGTAAACGGGGCATGGGCTCCCCGGTGGGCGAGCGAGCGAGTGAGAATGGAAAAGAGGAGGAGGAGTATATATCCCCCAATTAGAGCTGTTGATGGTGGGAAGCTATCTTATTCGGCTATTCGGTGTTTCCACTTTATATCTTCATTACTAGGACTTCCTCTCGTTGATTAGGCCATTTACTATCGTTAATATCTGCCGGCGGTAGATTTCCTACCCTTTTCTTTTCTTTCTCTTTTGCTCATCCTCTTCGATTTTGGCTCGTCACTCGCCCGTAATGTCCTCCGCGAGTGCCACCTCCACCTCTCCTCCCAACGAGAACCCAATACCTACCACCCGTCGCCGCTGGCCGACACTTTCCCGCCTCCTCCCGAGCCAAAAGCTGAAGCACCCAAGACTCCGACAGATAGCTCTCCTCCGCCGCCGGACACAATCTCTATCACCCAAAGACCCCAATGGGATTTACCAATCTCTGCAGTCCAATGAATCGGCACTGAAACTTCAAGGAACCTCCATCAAGTCCCCGAGACTGATAGCGTTAAGCCCCACCGGTGAGCTCGTCGAATCTGAAAGACCGCCCTCAAATGATTCACCGCCACCAGGGTTCGTTCTCGGTGGGGAAATCAAGCTTTTCGACACCCGGCTTGCTGGGAGATTATACACGTTCGTTGGAGAGGCGGGGAAGGCGAGTGATATTAAAGAGATCGTCACATTGGGAGAGAGGCTGCTGTTGGAGGATGTGCTCAAGTGTCTTCACGGGAGTGCATTTGGGGATGTAGGCTTGGTGAGGCCTAGGTTCATATTCCGTGCTAGGGACTCTACTCTAGGTGTTCTCCCAGGATTGCATTTCGACACAGAGGTAGTCTTTGATAACAATTCGGGACTCAAGTCCGCTAGCGAGACCTTGAGTGGGGTATTTGGGGTTAAGGCTGGATCGCTTAGAGTCTCGGGGTATCTCGGTGAGAAGCGTGAGTGGAATAAGGCCCTGAAGCCCGAGAAGTTCTCGTTTAAGGGTGTGTTTGCCGGCGTCGATTCCGCGCTTGGCAGGCTCGTGCGTGTAACGAGTGTTGGAGTGGAGTTGGCCGGTGCCAGGAAGGAGGGAAGCTTTATGAGGAGAGCAAAGTATGAATGTACTGTTGAGTTTCACGGAAGTGCCGAGGTGGAGATCCCGGGTTCTGTGGTTCCTTTGGTGCTCGATTATGGGTTTAGGGAGGTACAAGGGATGTATGAGTTTAAGTTGACGAAGGGAGGGAGTGAGTGGGTTAATGTCACCGGGTTTAAGGGATTGAAGGTTTGTTTTCGTGATATATTCCGGACAGGAGAGATGTGCTGAGATGATACTGGAATAGCTTTCCGACGTCCAACTACTAGCCGAGTTCCCGAAAAAGCTATCAGTAGGAGGCGTCGACTTTCAACTCTCGGCACAGTTGCAATTCGCCGGAGCGGCTCTTGCTCTGAAAGGAGTTTACTCACCAGGTATCACTCACCCACAACCCCATCACCCAATCCGACACTGACAAATTTCCAGAGACATTCTACATCCAAGCTTCGGTCCCCACCTGCACATTTGACGATCTACACGCTCTCTACACTTCGATTACTGGTCGCACGTTGGCAGAATTCTCCCACACAGCCATCTTCAAGGACCTCCTCTTTCGCATCGACGCATCGGGTCTTACTCTCTCTGGTGACGTCACAATCGACGAGCATCGCGCTGTAAAAGCTGTTGTAACAATCCACCGAGATGGGATTACTATTACGGGAAGCCTGAAGGACATCACTTTTGGCGCTGTCACAATCACCAAGGCAGAACTCGACGTATTCATCGGGAGAACCAACCCCGGTACCACATCCCGGGAGAGCGGGTTTTCGATCACAGGAAATGTACACTTCCACGACATGGATATTTCCGTCTCAGTGCACACGCTGTTCGAAGGTGGACAGGTAAACTGGACGGTGTACGGAGAGTTGGAGGCGGACCTGGAATTGAGCCGTCTAGCACCGAAGGTGGAAGGGACATTTTTGGACTTGAGTTTGAGAAAAGTGGCGTTTATCGCTTCCAACGTGGATAGTCCTGCGGGCGTGGAAGAGTTTAATGTTTTCAATTATCCTGTTAGGCGAGGTTCGTTCACTCTTCCATTCGTTCATTCATTCGGTGTGATGTAAATGGTGAGATAGGTGTGCAATTCTGCGCCGCGCTCGACCGAGTTCCCCAGTTAGATCATGTCTCTGGTGGAAGAGTGGAGGGATTGGTTCTTCGGGCAGCGTACTCTGATAGGGGGTTTAGTTTTGGAATTCTATTCCCCGCTCCCGTTACCGTGAGATTTCTTCCCCCCCCCCCCAGATATAAGGGATGTTGTTGACGTTGTTGACTGCATCTCCAGCTATCACTCGGACCAAATGTCACCTCTGGGCCGTTGTCACTGGAAGTAGTGACTTCAACAGTCCCGCAGCTAGTTTTCACAACAACCTTGAGCGTAAAGGTTGCAGGGCAAGCACAGCCGCTGGTATTCACTTTTGGGCTAAAGGCCGATATTGATTCTGCAGAAGGGTTTGGGTATGTTGTCCACGATTTATCACTTACCATGCGTGCGCTAGGCGATGGGGACTAACATTTCTAGACAAATGACCAACTATTGGGTCAACCCCCTCGGTCTCAGTGAGAATGTCAAGATCGGACCGGATCTTGCTTTTGAGCTAGGGATAATTTACGCTGTGCTAGCGAGTACTGGGACACCAAGGTTCACAACCTTACACACACTCTGGATTTAAGCGCCCCCACTAACACCCCATTCACAGCAAAATCGGTTTCTCTGGAGGCCTCGCAATTGGTGATGCGGAAACACAGGTAGCCGTAGCCCTCAGCGAGAACCCCACCGAGCAACTTGTAAAAACCAGTTTCACCCGTCTGAGCGTAACAGACCTGATTAGGTTCGCCTCCAAAATCGCTAACGAATCCATCCCCATCCCTCCAGAAGACCTCTTCACCATCAAAAATGGCCTCTTCTACATCTCCACGGGAGCCACTATCGGCACTACATATTATCCAGCGGGGGCATCAATAAAGGGCGACATTGAGCTCTTTGGACAGGAGACAAACCTCGAGTGCACCGTTGGTAGGACCACCAGAATCCAGGCGCTTTTCGAAGACGTTGCGTTGGGTCCCTTGGTAGTCACCGGAACTGGCGGGGGTAAAGCTTCCGCGATGATCGAGTTGGGGCTGGCAAAACAACACATACTCCTCGACGGAAGCGTCAAGATATTCGATTTTGAGGCTAGCATTCACGCTAGCTTGGACATCCTCCCGAAGCCGGACATTTCGTTCGCGTTGAGGGTGGCGTGGGGGGACGCCATTGAGGTGGAACTATGCGCGCGAGTTATCGGCGCTGCAGATCTCAAGGACTTGAGGGGTGCGGACTTCCTAATCGACATGGCGCTTGAGCAGCATATTCTCGACTACATCAGCACAAATGCACAAGCGCAATTTGCTGCTATGAGGAAGTTTCTTGAGGGTGGGGTTTTAGCCGCCGAAGAGTTCTTCGAGGAGACTAAGGGCGCAATAGAGGCGCAACTTAAGGAAGCGGAAGAGGCGTTTAACGCTGCCAGGGATCATTGGAAGGAGAAAGAAAAGGAGCTCAGGAACGCACTTGATGGGGCTGTCTCTAGCTTTGAAGAAGGATTGGAGGAGCTACAAAAGGATTTCTACCAGGCGGAGAAAGACTTTGAAGCCGCTGTTTACAGCGCTCATCAGAAATTGGAGACCGCGAGAATCGATAGAGTTGCAGCTATTACTTCTACCCTTGCCAAGCTTCAGAAGGCGAGGAGGGAGTTGCAGGCGGAGATTATGAGCTGCCTGTTTTCAATACAGGAGACAAAGAAGGAGACTGCGATGAGTTATGGAGCGTTGTTGTTGGACTTGAAAGTTGCGGAAGAGAATGTTCGGAAGGCGCAAGGTAGCAAACTACTCCTACACGATAACGTGTGAAGGACACTTGCTAACTTTCTTATAGACGAGGTGGACAGGCGTGAACAGGCTTTGGCAGCAGCACAACTAGAGTTCTCAGAAGCTCCATTCTACCGCAACATCGACCTCGTAAGTCCCCACTATCCTCAATACCATCCACAGAAAACTAACAAATTACACAGAGCATCAAAGTTAGCCACTACCAAGCCCACGTAACCGATGCCAAGGCCGATCTCCTCTCCGCCCAGACAATCTTAACTAGAGCGCAATCCGCCCTCGAACAGTCGGGTTTCCAGTCCGCCATCTCCAAGAAAACTGAGAAGAAGCAACTCCTGGCAGAGATCAAGACTGCTGGCGAGCAGACCATAAAAGATACTGAGAAGCACCTTGAAACCGCGGTAAAGGAAAACGACGAGATCATTCAGAAGGCAGAAGCCGAGATTGAAGATCATCTACAGAAGAATTCGAGCACCGAGAAGGTGGCCCTGAAAAACAAAGAGGAAGCACTAACGAAGTTCAAGTCGGAGAAGGAAACCCAGATATCAACGCTAAAGTCGCACGTCGCGACACTCTCGGAAACCCCCGAATTCGCAAAGTTCGAGGAAGCAAAGAGCTCGCTTGCCATGGCCAAGAACGCCAAATCGCAGCTCGGCGCCGCGAAGGACGCCATCAGGCTCTTGCAGGAAAAGGCACCCGCAGCGGAAAATGCGGGGTCTATTCTGACCAAACTGGAACGCGTGTTTGACATTCAGCACGTGGAGCTGCACGGGTCATTGAGGGACCTAATAGAGAAGGGTATTCCACTCAAGGCTAGGGTTAAGGGTTTCATCGCCGGGAAGGAGATCGACTTTGTACTCGATTACCGGATTGGGGAGACGGGAGAGTTTGTGAGGGGGTTAATGAGAAAGTGGTGGGAGGAGCTTAGTGGAGGGTTTATGGACTCTTTTGGTGGCGAAGAGGCGAGGGAGGATGTAGCGGGTGCTGATCGGTTCTCCCATGACTAGAATATTTAGTAGGGAGTTTTTGGAGTTATGGCGTTTGGTCCTTTATATATTCTGAGATACTTGGTCATGATAATAATAATACCGTAATATCTATGCGATAATAATTAATGATTCTTCTAAGGCTCCCCCGCTCAATCGTCCCGGTTGCGAGTGTATAAACCAGGACTCTGACACTACAATCAAGAACGAAAGCACGCCCGAGCCGGCGAGTGACCACCAGTGACGACAAGATCAAGAACCGGGGAAATAGCGTTACTACCAACTTACTTGCAAAAAAAATGCAAAAAAAACGTTGGCGCCCAAAGCGCAGCAGCAGGATAATTAAAACCGAATAGCCGCGATTGCAGTGAGCAATATATACGCCGCGGCAGTCCAGTCCATTCATGCCCAGGGGTGCGCGGCTTCTTTGAGGGTTGTTGCTCCCTGCACACCGCGTTCCTAACCCCATTCACGGCAGGCCACCATACCCATCATAAATTTATCACACCTTCTTTGTCTATATGTTAGTTTATTGCAGTACATAAAGCCCACAAGTATATTCTAAGATCTAAATTGAGTAGAACTTTACCACGACGATTCGAGCCCCCCGACGATACCCCACGTTGGTTTCTGTTACCGTGAAATATCTGGGTGGTAAGTTAATTGTGTTAATTTTATTTGCTCATGTAATATTCCTTTTGGGGGATATTGCGCAGTGGGTATGACATATGTTATGTGTCATTTAAGGCAAGATTAGTGAATTTGTATATATGGAACGGTGACACCCCCCTTCGAGTTTTTTTTTGGATCTTTCAAGTCAGCAATATCGTCTCCTACCGGAATAGAGTACGGTACTCAGTGGAGTGAAAGACTTATTTATTTATTCCGTAGAATTTCTCTATAACATCTTGATGGCTTTTGGGGCTCGTGCATCTACGATACCGGTGGCCCCCCCCCCCCGGGGACCGGCCATACATGGTATGATAGCACCTTGCGAGATCCGTGGTGACAAGCATGACGCTGATGTCGGTTTCCCAGGTTTGGAATGGCTACCGTTTCGTAATCTAACGTGTCTGCCCGGCAGGTCAACATTGGTACGGTACCTGTACAGTACAATAGTACCCGTAGACCCCCACTTTTTTTTTTTTGATCTCCCGGGAACTTTTATCGGCAGATCCACGCAGTAATCTATCCTCTACAGATCGCTATGCAGCCAAGGCTTAAAAATTCCCCTATCGTTCAGTCATAATACCAACCTTTCTAACGAATGTATTAATATACAGTACAACTCTATCCCCCCACCCTCCCCCATGGCCGGCGCAAATATCCAGGCCAGATACCTCGGCTAGGGCCCAGGGTACAGCAACCGGGACATATATCATGACAATAGAAGACGAATCTAATATCGCAGCCCATTTTGCTATAAAGATCCAAGTTAGCAAGGCCCATCTGGGTAACAAGGGTGATACTCAGGAAGGGAAGGAAGAGATCTAGTGCGGGGAGCTGTGATGTCAGTTCCCGTGCAATCAAGTCAGGAGACAAAATATTATACCTTTGTCGCGGATTTTTTTACTCTGATTTCGCCGGCACAAAGGAGCGGCACATGCCGGGTGTACCGGGTTCCTTACTGAAACGGGCTACCGGCGGGCTACGGCATGCCAAAGGAACTATGAAGAATATTTTCAAGATTTAAAGAGGATCATGGGTGGATGGGCGGGGGACCGGGGTTCCCGGACATTGTTAAAGATGTGATGTTACGGACCATCATGTCCCCACAGTGCACATTCACGTCTATCAACGCTCTGGAAGAGTACATGATATCACAGGCCACCGGGTCAGGGCTTCCAAATTCCCTAATCAAATTCTCCAAAAGTTTCCGGTCACTCCAATATTCGTGAGTGGGGGGGGGGGGCGCGCATTCGAACTAGGATCGAAAAAAAAAACACCCTGCTGGACAGAGCGCAGGTGCATCCCTAGGTACCAGCAGAAACGGTATCACTAGATATCTCTGTATTCGGCGGAGTGGGGGACATGGCCCAAGGTTTTGCGGCTGGTAGTCCGGGGGGGGGCAGACCTACCAGAAAAAAAAATCCGACAATATTTTGGATAAGCAGGTAAAAGTAACAATTCCGGGAAGCTAGCTCACGTTTCCAGCTGTTGCATGCGCGGATAGGTTATTGCTATTCTCGTGGAACATCGTGGCGATCCTACCAGAAGCCAGCATCAGTCGCAGTCGGTGAAAACTTAAGGGAACAGCAGATAGCTCTGTCAGGGGATGTAAGCAGCAACTAATGACGAAAATGTTTCTCTGATAAGTATATCGCTAGCCCGGGGATTTTTTTTTTCTCTTGGGGGGTGGGTAGGTCCTTTGCTGTAGACAAAGAGGCCTCGACTCCCCGGTTAATCCACTTTACCCTCCAAAACCGACCCCCCGAGCCCACCCTGACACTTCCAGTAGGGACCCCAGGCGAAAAGAAAATTCTTGCTGCACAAAATGGATTGCGGCGAGACGGCTTGAAGAGTGTGATAACCACATATCCACTAAAATACTTCTAATGGGGTAGGGTTTTGATCATACTAATGTCCGCGCCCACCCCCCCCACGCTACATTTTTTTTATATATATACCGGGCTGCACTGTGATTTATTCTACTCGATGATGGGAGCTGCAGGCACCTTGATAGGCATGGAAGGTTGTGATATTAACAGAGAATTTCATAGACACTCATATGGGCTTTTTAGAGTATGCGCGAGGGAGTAGTGAAAGTACCGCCAGGAAAGGAAGATATCAACCGGACAAGCCGGACAAATTAGTACAAATAGCACTCTAGGGTGGTGTGCCATTAGGTTGGCACGAGGGGGGTAGTAAGGTTACTACTGGGAAGGGATGATATCGCCTTTGATGGGCATGGGTGAAAGGAATAAGCCACTTCTCTATCATCCAGGAGGATTTACATACGAGGGAGAGCTAGTGTTCCCACAATCCCAGAAAGCCCCCTCCCCCACTCCCAACTTCGTCCAGCCAGAAGAGACGCCGACCGCCTCTGAAAACAGATAACCTATGCGTTAGTTCCTCAAGAGCCCCGCATAGGCACTTCTATCTCCGCCACCGGCTCATCTCGCTCGTTACAAAAAAATACCGTACAATACCACCCTTTAGAAATGGCCGCCCCCCCACATCCCACTCCCGTCCGGGGCGTGTTGTTCCTGCGGAAATTACCCCCTGGAGACGACTCTCCCCTACAAGTGACTGAATACCCCGTGCGATGGGAATGAATAACCATACACCAGCGCCAGCCCTCCTCGAGATTTGCTGATGTAGGCGAGTGATGGCGTATGAGCCCTCGGGGAATGGGTGGGACAGGATAGTTTAGCACGTCTTTGAGGTTTAGATTTGCTGTTGTTGTGCTCACAGTACTTCCTTCTTCTTGAGTGAAGGATGTACTATCTATTGGGCGTTTTTCTTGGACGAAAAAAAAAAGAGCCATGTATGATAGTGTAAAAAAAATTTGTGCATTTTTATTGTTGAAACCGAAAGGATAAGCGGTTGACTATGCTAGTTTTCACGTGTGCAGCCCAGAAACCCGATGATCCATAGCGAGTGAGATCCCATGATACAGCCATAATTCATCTCAATCCCCGCAGTTTAAGGAGGTTATGTGAACGGTGGCATAAACCTCTCTATACCCCATCGCTGCATATCATGCCGAACAGATATACATTTCACGGACTCTGGGTAGCCGGGCCACGAAGCTGTATTCTCTTGACGGGCAAAGACCAGCAAATCCAGAGACCTCACTTCAAAACCGTAATACCAGTATATCATCCCGCCGGATACCAAATAAGACGAGGTCTAATCCGAAATTCGGATCACACTAACCCTATCTCACACATTCCCTCCATTCCCCTCCAGCACTTGGCTACGCTGTACCCGATATCAACCTAAGTTTCCCCCCCACTTATGACACCGAAGAACCCCATCCGACGCACCGGCGAGATCCAACCAATGCACCTCGTAACCAGCTCAACAGATAGCGAAGCCCAAAGCCCGACCCAAGCGGACAGCGCAAGAATCACAAGGTGACATGATATAAGAAATAATCCTCTCCCCCCGCTTAAAAAGTCCAATGGAATCTTATCAACCCTCCATACTAGCCCTCTTCCGACCAACCTCCAAAGCGGGGAAACCAATAGGACACGACACGAACCGGATTCCCTAGGCCATGAGAGATCCCTAACTCGGGCTCACACGGGACACGATCACCTCCAGTTCCCGCTGGTGGACTGCCATCCACCGTGGAACCACCGAACGGTAGGGCGGCGAGTACTTGCGCAGGTAGGTAGGTAAGTAGGTAGGTAGGGGCAACCCTTTTCCAAACTCGTACGGGCGCCCGTTGTTACGGCCACGGTGATGCCAGCGGGGTGCGGAGTGCAGCGCTCGAGCGTTTGTTCCGCGCTGGCACGGACTTTGTGGAGGGAGAAGTTGTTGAAGGTGTGGCCCCTCTCGCTGAGCTCGTCTTGTAGATCTGCGTGTTGGGTACAAAACGGCGTAACAACACCTCCCCCTCAAGTAATATAATACAACGTACAGTACCACAATCGTATCCCCACAAGTCCAGTATGTAGCAGAACCAACAAACAAACGCTCCACCCGTCGGTGCAGAACAGTCCAGCGTCCGTGCTTGCATGATATCTAATACCGGATGCTTTTACGAATATACACCATTAGCATGCAAAAGCAGTCCAGAGCCTCGATTCGCGTTTGGGAAGCACATTAACTTAGTACCTATCTATGACAGCCGCGACACGGGCATTGTCAACGGTCGTTTCAAGTTCGCAGAGAGAGAGAGAGAGAGAGAGAGAACAAAAGGAGAGGAAAACTAAGCAAATGAACACTAACCACCCTTGCCAAATCGTAGAGCGGTTATCCATGTTCAAGGCTGAGATGCCAGTTACGGAATATCATCATCGCGAGCGCAAATTGTGCCGAGAAGAGAGTGACAGTCCCCCAGTCTCAGGTACGACACTAGTGGGAAGAAACTCCAGAGTATCACACACACCGCTAGAAGCTAATTTGAGAAAGAGAGAAAAACTCACCCCGCCACAAGAGCACAAAACAACCAACAATGGGCACAGCACTAGTATTCGATACAGCACCGCATGACCATACCCACTCCAGCAATACCCAAAGAATCGACAAACAGAGGCAGATACGACACTGTGATAAAACTCCACAGCCACGAGCGCGATATCACATAATAAGTAACTCAAAAAAGCAGAAGCCATCCGTCTCACCGCCACCCCTCACCCCCAAACCAAATCTTTCAGGCATTACATACATAATACCATACAGCGCAAACTTGTGCCCGTCTACGAGGAATACCGGCAGTCCAGCCAGCAGCGTGCCCCTACCGGTATACTATTATAGTCAACTACCGGTGCGAGTGACTACTCGTACAGTGGAGTACAAGCACAAGTACAAGCACCGCGAGGGACCACAAATCGTCCCACACGACAGGACATAACTTAATTGGTATACTTCTATACGCACATACGGCGCCGGTAGCGCAAATCCCACTCGGAGAACCCGCTCCCGGGCCCGCGTGCACGTTTCTGTTCCGTACAGTACATTTGGGTCGGTTCGGGATCAGCTTGTTGAAAAAGTCGCGCTACGGAGGGGGAGGAGGGAAGGAATTGCCCGGGAATTGGACCTATGCGGGTCGGTTTTCAATGTGGCTGGGACGGATTATTTATCCGTCCGTCCGTCTGGACTTTTTTCGTACGGCACAATGTGGTGCTTTGTATGGTGCTATTGTGCTGTTGGGATGGTATTTCTTGAGGGTAAACTTGTTTTGTAAGGAGGGGTTGTGTCGTTACTAATTTGCTTGGTAGGAGTTGAGATCTGCTAGTTTGGATTGGTGGATGGATTGATAGTGTGGCGCTGAGCTGGTGGGGGGGGGGGGGGTTCTGTGATACCAAATCACAGGGGCTCTTTACTTAGCCGTCCAGCTCACGCACTCAGTACCGTAACTTATTTGAGCAGCTCACCAACTTCTAACAATGCAATACGGTAATTTTGAATACCGGTATTAGAACTTAGCTACCGGTACCGGTAATGAATTCTCAGCCTGTACCGGTAATCTAGCTTAACCCGATTGAGCTGACTCAAACTATTGCCCGTAGATCCCAACCAACCAAACCCAACCGTGACAATCCTTCTGCCGCGAGAAGAAAAAAATAGAAGAAAAAAGAGGAAGTAGTAGAAGGTATAACAAAACCCTAATTTTACATGTGCAGGCATTACGTTTTTGGCCATGATGTGAATGGAGATTTGCGAGATGTATCATGTGAAAAGAAAGGTAAAATGAGAAGACAAGAGAAAGACAAGGAGAAAAAAACGAAACTTTTGACAATGAGCGTGCGTGATCACCCCTCGGCGAAAGGGTGGAATGAAATGTGGAAAAAATAAAAAATACATGATACAAAGAAGGGGTATAAAATAGACAACGAATAGAGCACAAGGGGGAGACCCAAGCGCAAAAACCAGTGCAACTGCCAAAACCCTTTAAAAAATCCTCATAACCTTCGTCCATCCCCTCTCCAGAGCTGAAATAACAATTCCTCAGTAGATTATTCCCCAAACTCCCAACCCAAAAAGATAAATCACCGTGGCCAAGACCAAGGTCATAATCGACGATTTGACCAATCCGACTCTAGAAGCTCCACCGCTGAACCATTCAACAGTGTACCACCCACGCTTGCCAGCTAGAAGGAGCAGAACCACCAGCCCCCACCATTGGAATCTTCCCTGGTAGACAATTGCTGGAGCCCACGCGTATATCAGAACGTTGGATAAGTGTCTAAGCAGTGCTGTCGCACGCCACATAATGGGAAGGTAGGGTGGTAGGCTGTTTATGCTGAGACCATATACTTTCCGTGTACCGCGGCGGGCAGAAAAGTTGTGGGTCCCTAGATCAGTGGGCCCCCGACGAGGAGGGCTGGGGCGATGGAGGTGAGTTATTGTTGCGGTGGAAGAGGAGGGGCCAGCTAGGTATGAGGGTTGGGAACCGAACATGCCTTCGTGGTCCGAGGATTGGTGGTGGGGAGGGGACGGTGGCAGGTGCGTCATAGTATTGTAGGATACCGGGATTTGCGACGACTGGAGCAATGCTTGGGATTCGTGATGGGGGTGTTGCTGATTCGGATCATAGGGGAGTGAGGAACTAAGCAGTGGGGTTTGTGCTCGATATGTGGTGCTATCCATAGAGGATCTAATTGAGCTAAAGGCGGAATCGGATTCTTCGTCATCGCCGTAGTCGTCCCCACTATCTACTCCAGCCCTCACCCTTCCTTCTTCCTCATCGCCAGCACCCCGTCGAACCTCTTCCAACCTTGGAATTAATTCGTCAACAACATTCGCTTGCTTCCCACCCGGAATCCCAAGAATCGGCTCGTCATATGCTGTTCGTGAGCTCCCACTCTCCATCCCAGTCGTTGCGGCCGGATCGGCAAATTGTACTACTCCTTCTTCACCGTCATGACAACCATGGCTTCGGCGGGCTGGTTGAATGCCGCGTTTCTTGCGGTAGAAGGTGCTGAAAAGGCCGCGGCTCTCCGAAGAGTCTTCACTGGGGCCCAAGTTTGAGTCAGATCTTATGCGTTTTCCGAGCAAAGGCCGGCCAACGGCACGAGAGAATAGGAAACGTTTTGGGATCGGTGATGTGGTTGTGCTCGAACTTGAGGTTGAACTATGGTACAGGGGACGGAGAGTCCACCAGGAGAACTATCAAGTGTTAGCCTTGGTTGCAGGTAAAGCCCAGGGCAGTAATGATTGGGACAGGAAGTATTCGGCGACTAGTTGGTGAAAAATTCATCAGCCAAACGAAAGATCACTCACCACGCACTCAATAAAGCTCCATACCCACCCCATAAGGTACACTCCTTCCCAAATCGACGGACACACCCTCCCACCGACCCCAGCGTCTCCACCAGCAATCCACTCTACCAGAGAACAGGCAGCCTGCCCCCTATAACCTCCTGCACCCCCCTCCAGCCCCACCAAAACCCTTACCAAGCCCCACCTTAGAACCTCCTCCGCAACCCCCATGCTAAACAGCACACCCAACTCAATTCCCTGTGCAAGCCTCTGCCTCCGTGGACCCTTTGGCAACGGCACCTTCCCCGCAAACTGCTTCAATGCATACACCACCACAAACCCGAGAGTTCCTAGTGGGATTGCGTACCGTGGGAATAGTCCGCCGGTATAGCTCCTACATCTTGGCTTCTCTGGAGGGAGGTGTAGGTTATGTTCGTGTTCGTGGCCGGGTAGGGGTCGGAGGTCTTTCGGGGCGATGATGAGAGGCAAAAGGAGTAGGAGGTGGATGCTGAGAAGGACTGGAGGGAGGAGGTAGCGGTGTTCGGAGACCTTCATCCCTCACAGTTCTTCGAGCTTTCCACTCGGGGCGACGAGGACGGCTTTCTCGTTATTATTGACCCAGCTTTCGTAAATCCAGCTTTCACAAGGGATATAATTCCGTATCTGTCTTCCGTCCTCAGGAGGAGGAGGATGAGGAGAGGATGAAGGTAAAAGAGGGGAGGGGTATTGATCGATTAATAAACCGTTGTCGGTCGGTTCCTCTCCCAACCAAATGTGGTGGTCCCGATTCAATCGAGATGCTTCCTCTCCTTCGTTTTCCAATGCTTAGAGGCCCCGTAACATACCAGTATCCTTCTACTGGTTTCTCCCTACCCTTTCCTTCGCCTTCCCTTCTTTTCCTTCTTCCCCTTTCACCCAAAACCGTTGAAGCGAGCGATGTCCCTATTCGACACTAAACAAATAAACCGCAAGGCAGAGAGAAAGAACGGAAGTGAATATCACAGGAGAAAATAATAAAATGAATGAGAGTGTTTATGTGAAGGTGAGAGAGTGAGTGAGTTGGTCGCCGAGGAAAAAAAATAAAAAAATTCAAAGCCAGGCCGGTTTGGTCTGGTCTGGTTGCTTGGATGTGCCAGTCCGTGAATTATTATTGATCAGCAGGCCAAAGGTAGGATTGACTCGAAGGAAGGGAGGGTTAGTGTAAAGGGAAGGGAAGGCAAGGTTGGCTGGACAAGTTTGCAGCGAAATGTGTTTCGAGAAGAGAGGAAGGGCCTAGAAGGTTAGTTAACTGTGGGAAAGTGGGAAAAGGGTTGGAATACGGTAGGCGTGAAGAAAAAAAAAAAAAAAAAAATAAGAGAGTGAGTCCTCGACTCCTCTTACGGAGAAGAGAAGAAAAGGAAAAAGAAAAAAGGAAAAAAAAAGGGATCCTCGGTTTGACAGATGCTGGAGGCTCGAAACTGCCTGTACGGTATAAGGGTGAGAGAAAAAAAGAAAAGAAAAGAGTGCCCAGGTGGTGAAAATAACAGCCAGAAGCACTCCAAAGCGGCACCCCACGCATGGACGGTAAGCGAAGCAACGCACCGAGGATACGATGGATCAGACTCTCGTTACCCGGCCCTGAATACCATGCCCTCTAGTCCTTCGTGAATATCAACCCTTTCTCCGCCAGGGTCGCAGAAACGCACAGTATTGGGCACCCTGAGGATAGTTTCCATCCATTACCGCCACCCCTCGAGGGGTCCACTCCGAGTACCGTAGGTCACCCAGGTCTCTCCTCAATTGCAGTAGCAACAGCAACGACCCACCTTGGAAACCAGACTACCATACCCCAAAACCCAATAACCCCACCAAACACATATGATGCCATCAGACCACCGAGCAATCCAAATGTGCTGAAACATCCCGCGTCAGTTCAGTGAACGCATTCCTCAGCCCCAGTGGGATCTGGAGGAACTAAGGCGAAGGTTCTTGCTCCATTTGGCTCTAGTATCTCGAGAGCTGTGCCCCTGACACACATTACCCCCCGGCATACCCACCAGTGGATACGGTCATATTGTACTCGTACAGTACAGTTCTCGAGCTTCACTGCTCGAGTATCGTCCCCCCAAGAATATCTGTGAAAACAAGGCGAATCCTTACTTCCTATGGGTGCTGTACGACCCGATCCGATCGCTCGGGATATCTCACCTACCCACAGAGATACCGAAATACCGGTAGTCCTCCAGACTGACGCTGTGCAATCGGGCCGAAGATCCCCCTAATTCTACCTACTCGCATCCTCCCGGTCATTTTTAAAGTGGCGGGAATGAGAACTACCTGACCGAAGGGATAGCCTACGGCTATTTCTGCAAAATTAGGCCCCGTAGCCGCGAAGGAATTGGATATATCCATAACCCCACCACCTCCCCTCACCACAATGAATAGTTGAAGGAAAAGGGCCTAGCACTCGACTCCGCTTACACGAGTAATAGTAATAGTCGCCCGGCTTTGTTTCTCATTGCAACAGCAATTGCAGATCATTGGTAAAAGGATCGGATTGGACCCGCATCTTTTCCCAAAAGTCGGATTGAGTCTGCCAGCCAAGCCAACCAGAAGGCAAGAGGCCCCCGAATCACACACCACACTTTCAGCAAACAGCGAAAGGTCTACTCGTACCGGCACGAACTCGACCCCTACGAGAAAACACGGCAGACCTTTCCGTATCCACTTGATATGGCTCTGCCACCGATGGGTTGGGATTTGATGCGCACTACAAAGAAGTATCATACCGGTAGGAACCAACATCCGGAATCCAAGCAGTAACGTAATAACCAATTATGCAGTAGCTGCAGAGCGGATACGAGCCAGCTCTGACTGGGTATCGGTATGGCAAAGTGATAGCATCACACAATGCGATACAACCTTACTTAACTTACCATCCATCATTCATCACCCTCGCTCCTTCCGGGGGCGTTAGAGGATCGCAAAACCGGTTTCTGGTAGAGAACGGTGCCCATGAATACCAGTAAGGTATTAAATGGTCTAGTATGGCTCACAAGGCCCTACATGTATGTCATCGGTCAGTTGCCATAATAGAGCGGGCGTTCTTATAAAATGAGGGAGGGGGCAGAGCTCCCAAAGTGGATGAGCAGTGCGGTAGCGTATCTTCCAAGAAGTGTGCAACTCATGCCAAAGAAAGGGCAAGCCAAACCCACAATTCGGGAGGGAAAAAAGGAAAGAAAGAAGATACGGTACTCGTGCTCGAGTACCGTACCGTACTTGCACAATACCGGCATGATACACTCCTTTCTTTCCTTGTTTTTTTTTCCTCATTGAATTCTTCGACAAAACAAGAAGGAAGGAACACCGATACTGGTACAGGTATGATATCTTGCTCTCTCGTCGACCGACGGGCCCACGGTTACTGTAGCACGACCTCATCCCATCCACACACACAAGTAATAACAGCCTCATTCAGCACACAGCTCACATCCAGACATTTCCACCTCACCCTTTTTTTTTATACCCATTTTACCCATCTTTCTCTGCTTAGCCCGATGTATCCCTTGTATTATGTCATACCGTAATCCAACCAGCCAGCACCAGCCGGCACAAAGCCCACGGGCCATGGGGGCCAAGCGAAAAAGAAAAAAGGAGAAAAAGAAAGGAAGAAGAAAAATTCCTTCGCCCATCAGTTTCGTCGGCCGCGTTTGGTTGGATTGGGCTTGGCTGAGTGGGGATCGGGCGTCCTGCTTGATTGGTGAATAGTCTCGCTGCAGGGGGAAACGAGCGCCAGTTACTTGGAGAGAGGGGCAATTGCAGCTCAGGCTCAGTTGAGCTGGGGTGCCGGTAAATTTATTGATCTGATGATAAACAAAGCGTCGGTACTTTCGGTCTACACACACCTACTTGTATCTACATACATAATATTGTGGCCATACTTGTACAAACACACCCGCAGAGCTACTCGTAGATGAATGTTCGAGCGCAGGGCAGCACCAGCGCCATAGGATTTTCAAGGACCCGCGCTGCGCTGTAATACCGGTATGCAGGCTTTGAGATACAATAATTGTAGTCCTCCTCACTTCTCACCTTGGGTTCGCATGGTGGGGAATGGGTGCATTAGAGGCGCTTGTCTCCGGTTAGCTGTGTTCTGGGCTCGGGCATGATGATAATAGGTGTGTTTTGGTATCTGCACCGCCAAGCAGTAGCGGTATTGGCATGCTCGAGTGCCATATTTCGTGCAGGAATTCCCTCCTCTCCTTCTGTACTCGAGTACCGTACGAGCACTCCGTGGGTAATTGCTTTTGATCGGAGGTTTGCAGTATGATATTCCAGGGAGCTTTTGCTTTAGCCCGGAGATCAGCTGCCTGTGCTCTGGATGATTACTCAACCGGAGCGTGAGGTCAAATTTCCGCCGAGGCGGATTCCTGATTGCTCATTGTGATGGATTCTTCGTTTCCTCTTCCTCTTCTTGTCCCCATCCTTCCTCTCCTTCGCCTTCCCTTCCCCTCCAGTACCGCACTGCGCTGGTACTTGCGCCGTTATAACACTACGAACCACCCAATACGCTACAGCGAGACAAAAAAGACCTCCGCCACAAGACAACCCCCCACTCAGGAAAAAAGGAAAAAAATGAATACGGTACAGGAGGTTAGAACCCAAATTGACCACCTCTCCCCCCCTTGCAAATGTCTCACCAAGTCAATCTTGCAGGAATAAATTACCGTAACAATGTGGGGAAATCTTGACGCAACGCAGCCCTCTGCCTCTTCTGCTTCTTCTTCCTTCCTCATTCTCCTCCACCCGCCCCACGAGGGCGAATGGTTTGCGGTTTGTGGTGGGTGAGCAGTCTTGGCCGGAAAAAGCAAAGTGAAAAGTGAAAAAAAAATTGAAGCGGAAGAACCCACATCCCTACCCCCCCCACTCTGGTCAGCACCTTCTCATAGGCTTGCTTGTTGGATGGGGGAATTATCCTGGTCGTCGATTGTGAAGGAGAATCAACCGTTTTTTCTTTTCTTTTCTCATTCGTTCGTTCCCATTCATTCATTCAGGTACGGTCCACTGAGGCTGGCACTGTCACCTGTATGGTTACGGTAAAGTATTGCGCATTGCTGCATTGATTTATTCGCGGTGCGGTTTCGAATGCCGGCACGCGTGGATAAGCAGTAGGCTGGAAAGGAATGATGGAAATTTGCCGGCACACTACCTTACGAGTACACAGTGAACCCCGGGCCCACTTTCGGGGTCTCAATCGCTCGCCGGATGACATGAAAAACAGGCAAGCCATCGTGCTCGCACGGAAACCGGAACATCCGGGTTCACCTCAGCTTCGTAGCCCAGTTACCCCACCAGGGCGAGGGCGAAAAAAATTGGAAAGAAAAAGAAAATCAAGCCACGAGTTGAAAATTTAGCTTCGGTACTAGTATCACAATTGCACAAATCGGTCCCCAAGGTGTTTTGATACTCAAAACTCCCAGCAGCCTTTCCGAACCCCCGATTCGTTGCTGCCGGAGAAGAATGGACACCGATGCGACAGATCTGGGCTTCTACAATCCATCGTTTCTTTCCACCACGCTTATCCACAAGCGCCCGCGCCCTTCCCACCATAACGGGGAATGGGGAATGGGATGGACTCTTAAAGATCGAAATCAAGCTATTTCCCTTCCTCCCCACGATGCCTTGGGAATCTACGATACCGTGCTATCACACTGGTAGCTTACCACAACCTGCTGTGCCGGTGTCAGACCACAGCGTCCGTCTACACTACCCAAGTAATCACGGTATGATAAATCGATTCAATTCGATCTAACCTTCTCTGAGACACAACGCTTGGCGGGAGCCAAATTGTCATAGCAAGTCCATAATACTCGAGTAACTGCTAGCACTGTACGAGTACCGGTATGGTATCCTTTTGGCAGCAAATTACTAACATGCTCACCCGCATTCATCCGATCCCGGACCGCCTCCGACAAGCATTCGCCAAAACCCACGGTAGTGGCTTTTTTTTTTCTGCGCTCCAGCCGGCCTAACTGCACATAGGACACTAGTAAAGGCCCGAATTGGATAAGGAAAGCACGATTGGGATGTGTTCGTCCAGCTAGTTGGAAGGTGGTGGGTGGGGCGAGGCGGTTGAAAAAAAAAAAAGATCGGATGAACTGATTCTCTTGCTTCTATCCTATCATACACACGTACATAAGCTAGACTACCGTACGTCTACTCGTAGGTCTTGTCATATCATACGGTAGGTGGGCGAGTACGGTA